AGTGGCCATCTTGAACAGAAGAATTTCAAAGACAGATCCCAAAAATATATCTAGAAATTGATCTCTACTTCTGTGGTTTCAGCTGAGACAAAGGGTTTTATAATCACACTCTGTATATTAATCACGCCATCAGTACAGTGATGTGCGTGTTACCAACAAGCAGTGGTTTTGTGATGGGACAGTCATTAAGATAATACTCCCTGGCTGAACTTTCTTGCAGTTCAGTTCGGATTTCAGCGTGCTGGTGGGTTCACGTTGCCATGATTCAGCTACTGACCGGCACTGTCTCATGAATGGCAACTGTTCAAAGAATTATCACTGACACTTTTTGGCTGTTCCTTTCCCCTCTGACAACATGTTTGTATTCTCCTCCCAACCTTTGTGTGTATAGATGGGCCACCTTGAGATAGGCACTTGATGGATTTGATGACGTGTGCTCTTCCCATGGGAGCTTGGGCCGGAATGAACACGTTTGCTAGCATTGCCGCTACAGGATGACACAGCAGCTCCTCTGGAAAACTAAGCAAAACCAATAATTAACTGACTGGATCCCAAGATTAATTCCAAAGTGCTCCTTGCTGTCTGGGGAAGGGGGAGCGTGTGCATGGAGTTTCCTTTGCAGATCAGTCCTGCCCTCCTCTGTGCCAGCCAATGGAGGACAAAGGTATTGCAGCGAGGGAAATTTAGACTGACCAGTCCCTGCTGGGCGGGTGAGGCATGGTGTCTTCCAGCTGATCTTGACACATACTGTCCAGACCTTCTGTGATTGAATACTTGGGTTCAATGGAAGCGTGCCATCAAGCACTACACGGTTTTATTTACAGCAACAGACATCACTAAATTACAACAGCGCTGAAGGGGAGCGGTTAAGACGGACTACAAGGAGCATGGGCAGAGTGTTTTATGGGTTTGGTTCACATGCACAAGGCAGGAAGAAGAATGAGGTTCTGAATGAGTGATAATGTGAGAGGTGGACGTAGAAGCACAGAAACCTTGAGAAATCATTCAGGAAACACTGGAAAAACCTCATGACGCATCAAGATCTTGAATGATCTTGAGTGTTAGAGAGATAAAACAATCAGAAGTTATAGCATTTAACAGGCACCAATGTTTGCTTTTTGCAGCCTGAGGCAGGAATTTTCTATAAAGTATAAAGATTATAAACTTTATTAGGGCAACTCCAACAATACCTGTTAAAGGTAAGGCTGGGTCATGGGGGTGAGGGTTAAGCCTCAGATCTCAAAGAATGCAGATTTTGTTGCCAATCAGTGCCAGGTTCTGGCTGGACGTGTTTGTTTAAGGCAATGATACAAAGGAGGTGGAAAAGGGTTGCTTCACACCGTGGTTTAGCGCTTCTGTTTTAATTATTTATTTAAAAAAATTGTATGCTGCCCAATTGTGCCACAGAACCTTTCTGTCTTCTTGCACCCATCTCTGTAAGTTTGTGGATTAAGAAGTCCAGCCTGGTCTCTGTGGTGCAGAAGTTTCTGGAAGCAGGTGAACTACCGTTATTAACAATTTTTTAAATTTGGAAATCACATCAAACTTTGGCAAGTAAACCTCCTTTAAGGCATGGTTTCTGCTTTTGGGTTTGAAATGTAAAAACATTATCACAGACACATACCTGTCAGAACTTCGCTACGGAGGGAGTTTGGCCATCCTTCTCTCCTCTCTCACCTCCCACATACCTGCTGTTCTTCCCCGTGGTCTCTGTGCATCACACATGTGGGCTTTGCCACGAGGCGCAAGGCCGAGATCAAAGAGAGACTTGCGTAGCTCAGCATCATACTGCCTGGGCTTTTTGACTGCACACCTTGCTGCTTCCCCAGATCTGATCAACTACGCTTGCATTTTTTATTTGGTTATCTAAATGATGTTTTCCCCTTGCTTTCTTCCTCACCCTCTTTTCCTATTTAAAAAAAAGGTTATTCCTGAAAACCCTTGTTTTCTACCCTTCTCTCCTTTTTCAGCCACATTGTACCACCAGCATGGAGACTTGTGAATCATGTTGCTTCCCTGGACAATAAGCTTTGGAGGGGTGTGTGTGGGAGAGGGGGTGGACTCTCTCTCTTTCTCTCTCTCTCTCTCTCTCTCTTTCTCTCTAGTGATGTAGGAGATGAAGGTTTTTCAGGGGTGGATGGTGGCCTCTCTTTGACCTTGGAACAAGCTCCAAATTCAGTTCACTGTGGAAGTTGATGAGTTAAAAGGGAAACCTTGCGTTGCCTCCTGCAGTCTGGGAAGTGTCCTAGAACCCATGGAGGGATGGGAAGGCTAAGGCGTTAATACATTTGCTTCTTCCTAAAACTTTCCTTTTCTGAGAATGGAAGAATCAGAAAAATAATTTTCCAAATGAAACCCCCAGCTGCTTCCTGTAAATGTTGTTTACTTGGCATTGCACTTGGTCACAGAATAGTTCCCTTCATGTTTGGGACCCTTCCATTTGGAATCCCTGTTCTGACCGTTTTGCCTTCAGATGTGGCTGAACAGTAAAGCCCCATCCTTCCAGACAGGATGCCCCTCGGTTCTGCAGAGTGTCAAGGTGTGTCCATCCTAACACAACTTCTGAATTTGACAGCCCCAAAAATAGTCCGGGAGAGTCCTGTCATTACAAATGAGTGCAAATCACATGTAAACTTTTGCCCTTGTCCCATAGGATAGCCAGAGGCCCCAGGCATAGGGACTGGGAGGTACCTCCTGGCTGATGGCTGAGCCATGCCAGTGAGATTCTAGGAATACATCCCGCTGGAATTATTTTGGAGGCAGATGGCTTAAAAAGTTGCCCTTCTCCCCCACTTTCATTAAGGATCCCTCCTTTTCCAGACTGATCCAAACCTTTCAGGTGCCATGCTTCTTTGGAGTGCTCTCCCTACTTTTAGGCCCAAGGAGTGCTGATCAACTTAAATCAACAAGAAAACAAAGACCACACATTTAAATCAAGCTTCCCATTCATATATTTCCTGAACAGAGTGTGGAATGGGCAACTTAGCCATGTTAATTTAACTAATGAGAATTGTTTACAGTGTTTCCTGCCAAGAAGTAGAATTTGTATCTTTGTCTTGCTGTACATGTTTTGCATGATTTCCTTTTTACTTAAGGATTTCCTTATGACCAGCGCCCCTGACAGTTTGAGACTAGCAGTATAGTCTCTTCAGAAATGAGCTCGATTCAGTTCAAGGGGTTTTGTTTCCAGATAAGTGAGCAGAGGATTGAGAGTATGAGAATGCAGGAAGATGTGCACTGTGTGGTTTCATCTCCTCTTTTTCTTCTGCTTCGCTGGCTTGTCCTGGCCTTACACTCACAAAAAAACAAAATTGTGAGGCGAAACAACGGCTCCTGGCTGATAGGTCAAAGCATGGCTTGATCATTAGGCTGAAAAAATCCAATATTTTATTTTTAATCCTTCTTTTGGACTGGGTTAAATCCACCCTGCTATATTGCCTTTAGGTACAGTCCTATGCAAGTTTAGACAGAAAGAAGCCCAATAAATCCCAGCCTGTCCCAGTCACAGTAACTGGGCAGGTCACGGTGGGAGTTGCAAACCTTTTCCTTCTGTCAAAACTCTCGTAGGCTTGAGCTCTGTCTGTCATAGCCAGTTCCTCTGCCTTCCTTGGCTCAAAGCACAGAAACCAGATCTCATCTCACCTGGCCTGTGTGCTTGAGCAGGTGCACCTCAGAGATGCTGCCAGCTCAGTTCCAGACTGTTTCAATAAAGTGAGTCGCTCTGTTCACGCATCCTGCCAGAGCATCCTGTAAATTCGCCATGCAGTGTGCCCCGTTTGGGGAGCAGTTTGCGGTGTCCCTGACAGACAGTTGGGCTCACCATGACTTCTCTTGTTCTCTTCTGCTCGCCCTCCATCAGTGTCCTTGATGGCAGGGCCTGTCTTGTCTCCCAGTCCATGGTCCTCCCTTACGGGAAGCCTTTCCTGCCCAATTTCCTGGCATGTTTGTTTATTTATGTAGAGTTTTTCTATGTCATCCTATACTATAAGTCTCTTGATGGCTTACAAAAAACAAAAAGGTGTCAAAGAGAGTCTACATACAGTAGGAAACTAATTGTCTTGTCTTGTTAGTCGCTTAGTGGACTTCCTGCTCCCTTGGGCAACTGAAACATCCAAGGAAATTGACCAGGAAAGACTAAGCATTGATATTGTGAGGATAAGATTGAGTGGAGGAGGAGGAGGAGGAGGAGATTTTTCCTTTCCTTAAAAGGAAAAAGGGAGGTTATAAATAGGAGCATACTTGCAAAAAATCTGATGACCAGACCAACAATAGAAATGCATCATTTTCTGGCTCCAAAAGGTATTTTCAAGGATGGCAGACCAGTGATGGTGATCCCAAAGTGCTTGTCTGGGCACTGGTAACAGGGCTGGCGTCTCTAATCGTGACGCTGATTTTTACCATCCTTGACGAGGATCCTGCTAGTTGGTCCTGCAACCAATGAGTTGCTCTGCCAAGTTTGTATGACGGATCCCCCCATTGTGGGTCAAACAACCCCTTGAACAGACCATAGGTGGTCAGCTTGGCTTTTGCTGAGAAACAAGCCCTCCTTTGGTTGTGAGGTGTGCAAATTAGTCAGTGTCAGACTCCACTCCCATCCACCAACCCCATCTATGCAGTATGGAGATAATATTCACCCAGCTTGTGATCTGTGGGTGCCTGGCTGCATGTGCCGTATTTTGGATGCTCTGAAGTGTCATCTCGATATGAAGGGCCAGGGCACTTCGGTAGGCAGAGTATGGGATGGGACCTGAGAGTTCTGGGTTCTGGTTTCTCCCTTGGCCACAAAGCTCACTGGGTCAGTGAATTAGTCCCTCTCACCCTAGCCTACCTCACAGGGTTGTGGTGGTGATAATGTTGATAAAACGTAAAGGAGGAGGAAGAGCATATCACATACTTTGGGTTTCTTGCAGGAGAAAACGGGGGGGGGGTATATAAATGCAGTAACACAAATAATAAGATTTAAACTACCTCTTTCTTGCCCTCCCCTTTCTGTCCAGCAGCTGCTGCGGGCACTTACCTACCACCCCTGCAGCAGGTATTTCAAGCTCCTCGCCGGCCCGGGATAGGAACTGTCGGGAAGCCAATCAAACTCTTAGCCAACTACTTTGAAGTGGACATTCCCAAGATCGATGTCTATCATTATGAAGTTGACATCAAGCCAGACAAGTGCCCGCGCAGAGTCAACAGGTAAGGCAAGTATTAGCCATTTTCCCCATCCGGCCCCGCAAGTGGGAGGAACCCTAAGAAAAGGCATGCAGCAGCCCCCGCCCCGCTCCCTCCCCTGCTGCCGTGTTTTGGGAGCGCCCGTGCTTCTGCACACTCCAGTGGCCACGGTTTCTGCCTTGCAGTGTGTTGGCCCTGCTCCAGTTTGCTGGAAGGACACCTGCTGCCTTTGCACAGGCGGGAGCTAACCCTGCAGGTTGGTGCCGAGACTGCAGGTGGAGTGCCTCTCCTGTACCGTCTCCCTTCCTGCCTTCCCTCCCTCCATCCTTCCTTCCGCCTGTCCGTCCGTCCTTCCCACCCACGCTGGGTGGATTGTGTGTCCGTCCTTCTCCCTTGCTGTGCGCTGGTGGCTCAGTAGATAACAGGCTGCCGGGGCTTGATCCCCGGTCAGCTTACAGCAGCTGCGTGGTGTTGGCCATGGTCCCAGACTTTTAAAATAGCCATCCTTAGGCTCTGGGCAATTATACTGCTGTTCTTCCTGTAGTTCCTGTTCGAGAGGGTCGGGCTGAGTACGGTGTGAAAGGAATGGGCTTCTGCGTCGTCGTTTCTGGCTGTGCTGAGTGCAGAGGGGCTGGAAGGGGCAGGGGGTTGTGGGGAGAGCTGTGCTGCCTCCTGAAGGCTCGTTGCCACCCTGGGCGAGCACCTTCATTCACTTTCCGGCTTCTGGGTTCCCTGCAGGCACCACAGGGGTGACTCAAGAGTGTCAACTGATATTCCAAGAGTGCCACTGCATAGATTGCAGCTTATCTTCCCAAAAAACAAAACAAAACCTAATTGTGCTGTCCCTTGGTGCCTAGCCAGGGGTCAGGGCTTCTGCATCTCCCAAAAGGCGTGGAAGCTGCCGACAGTGGCAAAGGCCCTTGGCTGGGGAAGCTGGGAGTCCAGCACGTCTGGGGAGCACCAGGCTAGGGAAGCAGGTGTTTCAACCTTAATATGGAGAACGTATTTCAACCGAACACTTGATCATCTTGTGTAAGGTGCTACGTACACCACATTTGTCATGTTAGATGGGGTGGTCAACTTTGGAGGGCTGGAGGGACAGTTTTGCAGGGTGCAAGTACCTTAAATTTGGCCCTTTGTGCCCGCCATGCTGGGGCTGTGGGGGGCACGGTTGGCCTGTGCCCCTCCCCCCATCACCCAGCCCTGCTTCAGATCTAGCTTGGCTCTTGCATTAGAATGCTCAGCATGAATTCTGCTTTGAGCCTGTTGCGTGTGAAGAAGCTTTTCACGATGTTTCCCTAGTTTTCTGCTGGAGCTGAAAATGACTAGCTGAGCCTGCCTCTTTCTCTCCTCCCTTCCCCCTCTGATCTCTCTATTTTTACAGGGAAGTTGTGGAATACATGGTTCAACACTTCAAACCTCAGATCTTTGGTGACCGGAAGCCAGTATATGATGGGAAGAAGAACATTTATACAGTCACAGCTCTGCCTATCGGAAATGAAAGGGTAAGAGGGCAACTTTGGGGTGGGGATCCTTTGGAAACCCACTGAATCTGAATAAGGAATTGAATTGGAGCTTCTTCCCGGCCCTGTGTTGGGTGCAGTACATGAGAGGGAGTGAAAAGGGAACATTTGACTTTAGAAACGAAGAATACGGGCTGTTACAGGAACATTAATTGTTAGATGCAACAGAACAATGTCCATTGTCTAATCAGGGTCATTAATGTGACTGGGTCCATGCAACTGGGGCATAGAAAGAATTCAGAACTTCCTACCCAGCACGTAGCAGTTGTGTGTCGCGTCGCTTCCCTGGCTGCCCACACTGTGTACACGTTGCCATGTCATCCGAACCCGAGGCTTATGCTAGGATTCCAGGGTGTTTCGGAAGCCGCCCCCTCTCGCTTTGGACGGCTCCGCAACCCAAGCGTGGCGTGGGAAATGAGGTGGTGCACAGGTGGCTTGCACAGGGCCGGGGGAATAAGCCGCTGTGGATTTTCTTTCCCTGACTGTGGGCATGTGTGTTTGCTGCATAAAGAAGTATCTAGGCTGTGGCATCTGCAGAGGGTGTGAGGTGTGTTTAGAACAACAACGAAACTTACAGTGCAAACTTTCCCCAATCCGAAGCATTCAGTATATGTTGGACTAAAGCATCCATGCTCCCCAGACAGTTGGCCACTGGATATTAGGAGTTGTAGTCCATCATTTCTGGAGGATCCCAGGTCTGACACAGCTGCCTGGGGCAATCTAAATGTCCTGATACTGAGCTGTTTCTTGGGCTGAGTGGACTCTTAATTTGTGACGTGTCCCTGTTGTTTTCCTGGCAGTACAGAGATCTTTAAGCACGGCAGCTGAGCCTGCTTTAAGAAGAGGGAAGAGCTAGTGGATTGTCTTTCAGGTGCACAGGCACACGCTCACACACACGCTCCCCTCTGAACTGAATTCTGAGAGTAATAGAATAGCCAGAATCGGGCATGGCATGGTCAGGGTGCTGCACTGGGACTCAGAAGTGCCTGGTTTTAGTCCCCATTCGGCTGCGAAGTTCAGTGCGTGACTCTGGAAGGGTCATTGTACTGCTTTGGGCTACTTGGAATGGGGGATATAAAGGTACCCCAAAATATGTGCATTGTATGCTTCATATGAGGATCTCGGAGCAGTGCCTGTCCCCAGGACTGACTGACAGGAGCCTTCCTAGTAAGGCTGCTCCAGGGAGCCATGGTTGGGCTTCTCAGACCTCAGACATGGCATTTAAGATGCAGGGCAGACATGCATGAAGCCCGGAGCTTACAGGGCTGCTGCAGGTTTTAGTTTTGGCCTTCTTGTGTGTTTTGTGCAGCTGTCACTGAGGATACTGTCAATTCAGTCACTTAATCTCTTCTTTATACACATCTCCACATGAAAATCTTTGTCTGAATTTAGGCTCAGGAAGAATTTTTCTTATACGCAACACATGGCGTGCTTTCTGCTTGATAATCAAAGTTGTGTTACCTTGCACATTTCCAGATCTGTGTTGACAACCTGCCAAGTGAGAGCTAAATTCATGGTTCAGCTCTGTTTTTTAGGCTTTCCAGCTAAACAATAAAATGCTACTGCTGCTTCTGCTGTTCATATGTAGTGGCCTATAAGGAGATCTTAAAGCCAGTGGGTTCTTCTTTTTGTGTAACGAACATCTCTCGGCAAAGGCAGTGTTTTCGCTGCGGTACGGTGACCAAGGACTAGGAAGAGTTTGCAGATCCAGTCTTGCAAGGCGAGACAACACCCGTAGGAGCTTTCTGTTAGTCTGTGACTAAGCTAGGAGTGGACCATGCCACGCCGGTCAAGTACAGCGCGGTGGGCATTCACAGGTGCGCAAGAGGCAGCAGTAGGCTCTGCTCCGCACGTTAGGAAATTCCTACACGCGCGAAGCAGCCCTGTGACAATCCCACTGTTGGATGGGAGATCAGATGAGGAAGGGCGAGTGATTTGTAAAGGAAGCCATACTTCGCATGTCGAAACCTTCAGGTCCACCAAGGGGAATTGGGAGAGAATCAGCAGGGCAGAACACACCAGTCTTAAGTGACCTCATGTGGTCCCGGTGTGTTGGATTACAATTCCTATCAACCTCAGCCAGCGTGCTCCGTTGCAAGCTGCAGTGCAGCATTTCTGGAAGGAACTAGTTTGAGGAACACCATCATAAAATAACAGCGTGTAGGGCAGTTCTCCCAAACATGGACCCCTCTAGGTGCACTGGACTACATCTCCCATGAGTCCCAGGTAACTAGGCCATGCCAGCTGGGGATTATAGGCATTGTAGTCCAATGCATGCTAGTTTGGCAAAGACTGGTATGGGACTTACCTTCAGTTGAGTCTGGAAATAAGCTGGGAGCCCATGTAGTAGTTCCAAGAAAGGAATATTCTGTTCTGGTCCCAATTTTTTTCCTAATTGCAGCTTCCAAACTGATTTCCAGGGCAGCCCAGGGCATACGCCATCCACTCCGTTTGTTTGTGTATTAGATTTATATCCCGTTCAACAGCTGAAAGCGCTCTGGGTGAAGCTCTCGTGCTGTTAAAAGCACAAGGTGCAGCATGGTAAAATAAAACACAGTCGTTTAGAGCATCAACATAAAATAAAAATAGCCAGATAACCTAGCGCCAGTGCAACGATTTGATATGTGGCGCTAGAAATGCAGAAGCTGAAAAACTAAAATGTGTGGAAAATTAGTTCTTTACCCAACCCTGAAAAAAGTGTAACGGGGGAGCCAGACAAGCCTCCATGCAGCTCATTCCACAGTTCGGGTCCCACAGCAGAAAAGACCCTCCTTTTAGCAGCCATACAGCTGCACTGCTCTGCTGGGGCTCCTGGAGAAGGACTGCTGATGGGTCTAATCCCTGAAGGGCTCCCTGTGCACCTGCTTAGGGTCTGGCCAGGTGCATAGGGAAAAAATGGTCCTTCAGGTATAGCGATGGTAACATCCGATTGGGAATAAGGGTGGCCAGGCTGTCTTAGAAAGGTTAAAGGTTAGTCACAGGCGTATCAGCCACTTGGGCCTAAAGCCTGACTTACTTACACACGCAAGTGACAAACCTGATTCTTCTGAGAGATGTCAGTGGTCATATTGGCTGGGGAAAACAAAAGGTATTAATTTATTATATTGATACCTTGCCTTGTTTCCTTTCAAGGAACTCAAGGCAGCTTACATAATTCTGTTCCTCTCCATCTTATCCTTACAACAACCACCCAGTGAGGTAGTTTGGGCTGAGAGTCTGTGGCCGGCCCAAAGTCACCCAGGGAGCTCCATGTCCGAGCGGGGACTCGAACCCGGATCTCCGGAGTCTCATCTCAGTGTTCTTAACCACTGCACCACACTGGCGATACTGATGTCCAATGCATCTGGAGGGGTCTGAGTTTGAACGTGGTTGCAGGTGGATTGCTCTGATTTGTTCAGGATCATTTCAAGATGTTAATGGAGTTCTGCTTTCTTTCTGTGTTGAAGGTTGACTTTGAGGTGACAATTCCAGGGGAAGGCAAAGACAGGATCTTCAAGGTGTCCATCAAATGGATGGCCATTGTGAGTTGGCGGATGCTGCATGAGGCCCTGGTGAGCGGGCAGATCCCTGTTCCTCTGGAATCCGTCCAGGCTCTTGACGTGGCCATGAGGCATCTGGCATCCATGAGGTATTCTCATTTCTCCATCCATCCATCCATCCATCCATCCATCCATCCATCCTATTTATTAAAGAAGTGAATCCAAAAGAGATCCACAGAATATCTAGGGTCACATCTGGCTTGTTTGTTCATCTGTGCTTCTTACATGTTTAGCCAACATGGCTTCCCTGAAATGGACTTAGGGAGCTGCTCTGTGAGAAGCTAAGGGAGAATGTTTGCATGTACAGAGCAGCCAGTCCGTGGTTTCTCACCCTTTCACCAGAGTTCATTTCCTGGAAGGCTGGAGAAGAGCACTGCCTAACCGATGCTCTGCCTAAAAAGTAATTTGACAGCATGAACATGCTACAGGTGGAATAGTGAGGGGCAGATATGAGCCCCAGGGAGCATCTTTGTTTGTTTATTTATTTATTATTTCTTAAAACATTTCTATGCCGCCCCTTGCCGAAGCCTCGGGGCGGCTCACAACATACTTGGTACATATCCAGATTTGCTGCCTTCACGAGTGCTACTTGGCTTAATGTTCCTTATGTTCATTACTCTCTGCAGGTACACCCCAGTGGGCCGTTCCTTCTTCTCTCCCCCTGAAGGATACTATCACCCGCTGGGAGGAGGTCGGGAGGTCTGGTTCGGCTTCCACCAGTCTGTCAGGCCTGCAATGTGGAAGATGATGCTCAATATTGATGGTAACCAAATGCTCACATCCAAATTTGTTTGGCTCAGTGGCTGCAGCAGGCGCTCCAGAGTATAAGACCCCAAACAAAGCGTAATTTTTTTGGACATTTTTAAGCAGAAGTGCCCTGTTCAGCATGGTTAAGGTCTTGTGAAGCTGAGGGCTTTGTCAAGAAAGGAGATCTAAAAATGTTTAAATGAGCTCTCTGAGTGTTGCATCTCTTTTAAGTGTCATTTCTAGAGTGTGACTCTTGATCTCTAGGCTGCCACATCCAGGATGACGTGTTCAGTTCAGTGGTAGTGTAGAAAACCAAGAGAAGGAGTATAGTAGCCTTAGAATTTAACATGATGAGATCCTGGTTTTCAGTGAAAAGGAACGGAAAAAAGAAACAAGTTTCTGGATCTTATGTTAAAAGTATGTGGGCTAAAAGAAGGGATGGCTGAATAATGTTTAGAGAGCGGTGAGCTTCAGTTCCATTCATCTTTACGCTAGATGAAGAGGCATAAAATATGCCTAATTAGCTGAAATCAGGTAAAGCAGAGGATACATTTCAAAAACAGAAGGCATTTTGCTGGATGTGACTGGCCATGTTGCAGTGCCTATAAATAGCTGCCATAACAAAATAGCAACAGGCTACTGACTTGTAGGATTTGGCTGTTCATCAAACAAGTGTAGAAATGCCATACAAGCCTAGAAACCTTCCCTCTCTGCTCTCTTGGTTTGTGATGTTGCTACCCAGAGAAATGCGGGACTTTAATAGATTATCACTAGTAGGCAATTTTTGTTATTAATTTATTAGTATTCTATGTGAATTAATATAATAAAGTATCTCAGTTTGCATACATAAATATAAAAATGTAAAAAAAATAAAATAAAATATGGCCTGGGTGGCTTATTTTATATTAGTATTTTTGTATTTTTAACCTAATGTTTATATTTTTTAATTTAATATTATAATTATTTTTAACTTATTGTTGTAAGCCGCCCCGAGGCTTCGGCGAATGGGGCGGCATAAAAATGTTTTAATAAATAAATAATAAATAATAAATGTTTTGTTAAAATACAGGTCCAGTACAGTATAACACTAAAGAAATTTGGCTTATAACAATGAAAGGCCCATTAAAAAGAATAAAGGAACAGTAAAATGGAAGGCACTCTGTGCCTGGTGCCTTAGCCTTACATAAACTCTTTTTAATCCTATAATAGTGTCAGCAACAGCGTTCTACAAGGCTCAGCCTGTGATCGAGTTCATGTGTGAGGTGCTTGATATCCGGAACATAGATGAGCAGCCGAAGCCTCTGACGGACTCACAGAGAGTTCGGTTCACCAAGGAGATCAAAGGTAAAAAGGTTTGCAAATAGTGTGATGAAGTGGTTAGAGTGATGGACTGCGGTTTGGGAAATCTGGGTTCTGATCCTCAGTCTAACCAAGGCTCCCTGCCTTAGCTTTGAGAGTAGTTAGGGGGAAATGAAATCACCTGAGTTGTGCCAAAGAGGATAAACTGTTTATTGAATATGGGGATGAAATCAACATGCAGAATACAAAGAAGGGAAAGAAAGCTTGTGCTCCCCTTCTGGAATGGGTCATCCAAGGGCCCTCAGAGGTGCCTGGTTGAGCAATGTGTCACTCGTCTCGTAACCAGGAACAAATAACAATGTGCCTATAGCTGTGGAGTTTGTACATTCCAGCAAAGCAAATCCTCTCAGTGCTTACAACTCTGCTCTGAGGCTGTTATTTCTAGTGCTCTTCCTAACAAGCCGAAAGCCATGGCAGGTCTCCAAAACACTATCCTGGGGTTTGGATACTGGGTGAGTTCATGACACAGCCCACTGTCCACTGGTCTTCCAGTAGCACCTGTACCATTCCATCAGGTGCTGCCTCTCAGCCCAACCGAGGATAAAATGAAGATGAGAGAAACACAAAAACCACTTCAGGTTCCTCTCCGGAGGGAAGAAAGGTGGGCTATAATGGAGTAATAAAATGAAAAATGAAAATAATAAAGCAGAGGAAACTTGAGGCCTACCTTTCCTAAATCTTGCCACACAGTCTTGAAATAATTTTAAATGGGTGTGTGGTTGCTTTGATTTTTTAAAATATTGTCTTAGTGCATGCAGCTTCTGTTATTTTATAGAGAAGCAACTACTGAGTGTTAACAATGAAAAACACAATCCTTTTTTTAAACGCGCGATTATAATAGATTTCGGTCACCAATTTTGATGAAATTTTCCATTTACTCCCTGTGCACATGTATTATATACGCAGTCCAGCTAATAATCATTTCCATGGGGGGAGAGGAGGAGGATTAGAGAGAGACATGTTGGGAATCAGAAAGTCTTAAAAAGTGAGGGGGTAATACAGAAAATGCTACAATCGGTTGCTTGGGGGAACCTGTGAAGATCCTGAAAGGGAGAAGATTCTATTCTGAATCAGCAGGCTGTTTTTGAATTACTGGAACTGGCATTCCTTCTGTGTCCATAATTTTGTTGGTGAAGCATTATGAGCATTATCTCTCTCTCTCATTAGGCTTGAAGGTGGAGGTTACTCACTGTGGGCAAATGAAGAGAAAATACCGTGTGTGTAATGTTACTCGGCGGCCAGCTAGTCACCAAACGTAAGGCAGGAGCAGGGGAGGGACGCTGGGGTGGGGGGGACTTGAGTCTTGGTGTCTGGGGCTCTTTGGCAGCATGTAGAGGCAGTGCTGTTAGCCTGAGGAGAGAGAAGGAGGTGCGTGTAGGTTTAGAAGATGGAAAGCAAGGGGGTCGCGATGACCCACGGACTTGCCAGGTGCTCTTGTCTCCCTGGAGCTCCGATCAGAGATGTGACTGAGAGAGTGCCGAAGCGCATAAAGCCCACCCATCCCTTTCTCCCACTCCATTCGTGGGTTGTTGGGCATGAGGTCCATACGTGTAAATTAAATAAGCCCGAGTTTGAATCAACTGTTTGTTTTTGGGTTCAGACTCTAGATTGTTTAACTCTCAGCAATCCAAAACACGAGCTTTAGACATCGCATTGAACAATCCAGTTGCAGGTTGTTTAACAAAGCAGGAGGGACGAGTGGGTGAGAGGCAGTGGACTCGCCCTGCACAGTCCCACGAATTCAGGAGTTGCCTTGCTATTACGTGTGAACCAGGTCAGTCAATCCTGAAACACAACAAATGAATACAAAACAGGTCAAACTGGGCAGCAGGAATTGATGCTTTAGACCAGTAGACACTAAAATTAAAAATTAGCTTTTTTGCTCAGGAGACTGTGACTGGGTTTGCAGGAGATGACAAACCATCCTCTGTGATCCAGCACAGCAGGGCATTGTGCCATGTGAGCCCGATCATTTCCTACAGAAAGTCCTGCTTGTGGGAACAAACCACACTGAAAGCCCATCGCTTGGGGTTATCATGCATGATGGCTTGTCATCTTGTCCAAACCCAGGCAGCCGACCTTATTGAAGGTACCAAGAAATGGCTAGCAAGCTAAAGCACAGTAACCCCCCTCCCCAATCATGCCAGCTGATCAGACCACTGCTAGTGGTAACTGCTTTACAAGTGCCCCAGTGCTTGTTCAGTGATCATTCTCTCCAGCTTGACAGCCAGCACGGTCCCCTGTTTTGACAGCTACCAAAAGCCCCTTCAGAGTGCCCAGTGGCCCCTTGGTTTATCTGTCACTGTTTGCATGTATGTATATACTTCGCTTGTTAACAAGTGCCACACCTACAGATGACCCAGACTGAGCACCCACACCTGGACAACATCCATGGAGGTAACAGCTGGCAAAGCGCGGTAGGAGCCACCTCTTAGTGAGCACTCTGTGAAATCACAGGAGCATTTAACGAAGTCCAGTGGTTACGGTGTCAGACTGCAGCTGGGGAGGCACCAGTTCAGATGTGCACTTGGTCAGGAAGCTCATGGGTTGACCTTGGGCCAGTTATGCTTACTGCGTCTAATTTTTCTCACCGAATGCTTAGGAGGATAAAATATGGGGGTGGAGGGTGCAGGGAAGGGAGAGCTGAGTATGCCCTTGAAGGAAAGAGGGAATGGAAATGGAGTGAGTAAAGTTAAAAAAAAAAAAAAAACACCTGGGCACAGTTGCATTGTTGGTGCCCACACAGTGAAGGAGCTCTAACGGTAGACTTCGTCCCAGCTGGGTATCGCCATGTCTAAAGCAGCTGCCGTTCTTTTCTGCGTAGGTTCCCCCTGCAGCTGGAGAGTGGTCAGACCGTAGAGTGCACCGTGGCACAGTACTTTAAGCAGAAGTACAACCTCCAGTTGAAGTACCCCCACCTGCCGTGTCTCCAAGTTGGTCAAGAGCAGAAGCACACGTACCTGCCTCTGGAGGTAAGTGCTTCGGGGTTGGAACATGGGGAGGGAGCTTCTTCCGATTCCTTGCTTTTGCAGCAAAGGAGCAGTATGTATGGGGTTGCATATGTGTGCACAGTACTGCAGCCCCGTTTGCCTGTATACGCTCATGCTGACTCGGTTTTGTGCCTTGACACGCGCCCATTCAGACAGACAGCCTGGGCTGCAGCATTCTCCTGTCTGTAGCAGTCTTGGTGGAGCATTGCACATTCTTCCTCACTTGCTTTAAACATAAAACCTGATTCTGTATCAGGTTCTGAATGGTTTGCCAACTCCTGATTTTGATTTAATACAAGCCTACTTTGGATTGTCCTTGCATTCTGGATTGTTGTGATGTGTGAATGTGGCTGTGCTAACAAACCATGAATCGGTAACCATAGGCGACTCTGAAAGTGAACCCACAGTTTGTTGCTGGGTTGTAAACTGCTGATTCTTTCAACTGTGGATTGTCATAGCATGTGAACACAGAACCTGCCAGGCGATGGAGGTGGTGGTCAGGAGTGCTAAAAAGAGCCCAGGCTGAAGTACCACAGAGGGCTTTGAGATATAGACTGGGAGCTGGCCAAGGGAAGCAATCCAGGTATTGACAAACCATGGTTGGCTTAGTCATCTGCCAAACAAACCTTAGGTAGGGCACTAACCCATGGATTAATCATCATGTATAAATTAGTACAAATAATTGCATGATCCAATAGCCCATGGGCTTCTGTGCTTGAGTGGAAGAGATCAAATACATGGTTGGGTTTCCACAACTTAAATAACCCAGACCAAAAATGGAATGTGTATTGTAGTTGAATCATGAGTTTTCACTAAAACATGGATTGTGGTGTTGTCTGAACCTAGTTGTGGTGATAACCTGCAATGAATTACCCAGCAACAAACCATGGATATAGAAACATACCTAAGCAGCAAAAAGCTGTGTTCTGGACTCATTTCCAGCATCTTTGCATATGTTCACCATCTTGAATCCCTGACATGTCTATGTTGAGAGGAACAGTCTGTTGGGACTTTTAGTTGCGTTCAGTGCTTTTTTTGTCATAGAATGCACCGGAACAGAGTTTTTTGACAGATTTTCCAAGTTTTAAAAGTAACTTGAAAATTTGATGTTTGGTCCATGTGGATTTGAATCGCCCTGTCGAGCGTAGCAGGTCGGCGGCGAAATCATCAAAACGGTGCATGTGGGCTGCTTGTGTGTCGAATCTGATGCATGCATACTTCGTCCGCGCTGGTTGTGATGGTGCTGCTCAGCTTGTGATTGGTCGTGTGGTTGCACGCTGAGTGCTTACAGTGGGTGACAACCGTTATGTTTCTTTACACAACTGAAGTGTGTGGGTGTGTGTGCAGTGATTGACTACATGCGAATGGTAAATAATTTCATGAGTTCCGGCACCTTTTTTCTTACAAAAAAAGCACTGGTTGTGTTCACTTGTATTCACATGAAAGCATTCACACAGTGGGGAACTCTGCTCTGTCAGCATGTCCTGATTGCACAACAAGTTCTACTCACAAATGTGAGCAGAAGCCCCCTGCAAGGGAGGCTAGAAACACTGGACTGGCCCTGTACCGTACTCAGGTATAATGCTTGAATGCGGCAAGTTCTTCTATGCTGTTGCCAGTGGGATCGTTAAGCTGGGTTCTAGATGGCCCCTCAGGTGTGTGTAGTGAGCCATCCAAGGACCTCTACTGGGCCAGGATAATAATTTTCAATTAAAAATAAATACTTTTTAAAATTTTATAATATAAACTAACAAAAACAATACAATTAATATCGTTACAATCAGTGCTTTTTTTTGTAAAAAAAGAAAAAGTGCCGGAACTCACATCTTGGAGTCACACTTTTACACTAAAGATTTTCAATTCACCAACTTTTTTTGAAATAAAGAACTTATTTGCCTTTTGCACGTAGCCAGTCACTCTACACACACATAAACATAATGGTTGCCGCCGGCAGTAAGCACTCAGCGCACAACCACATGCCCAGTCCCAAGCCCTCACAACCAGCGCAGACACACAAGCAGCCCGCAGGCACTATTTTAATGATTTTTGCCGCCAACCTGCTACGCCCGACAGGGCGATTCACAATCACTTGGAAAAATCCGTCAAAAAAAGGGTGCCATTCGGGTGTGTTCTATGACAAAAAAAGCCCTGGTTACAATTATCATAATGAAACATTTCTGATTAACAGAATGAAACAATACATTAATATCAGCGCTACCTCCATCAGGACCAACAACTCTAGTTACTTAATGCAAGTTCATTTAAGAAAAGATCATTCAAAAATAAGTACTTTGTTTTCTTTAACCCACTTTGCTAGGTGTGTAATATTGTGGCTGGCCAGAGGTGCATCAAGAAACTAACAGACAATCAGACCTCCACCATGATTAAAGCAACCGCAAGGTCTGCCCCGGACAGGCAAGAGGAAATCAGCCGCCTGGTTTGTTTCCCTGTTGTCTCTTTGCTTATGTGGGAGGGATCAGGAATTGGGGTGGTGGTGAGCTTTGTGTTCTTTGGCTGGGGGAGGGAGTGTCACACGGGCACCTGTTGGAGACGCAACGATTTGGCATCGGCGTAGGACTTTACCTGGCTCGACTCATGTTCTGTCCCTGAATTTGTTAAGTGGCCCCACTCTGTCTTTCTGCGCTTCAGCTTTACTATTGGAAATAATACTTCCCAACCTACCTCACAGGGTTGTTGTTGTGGGGATAAGATGGAGGAGGAGAATGATGTAAGCTGCCTTGAGCCCTTTGTAGGAAAAAGGTAGGATATAAATCCAAAAATAAAATAAAATAAAAACCTTGCAGTATAAAGGATAGTGCATGATGTGCTTTGGGTGCGTCAAAGAGCTATGTGTATTATCAGAACTTTCTGTTAGGATTTGGTAATTTGACAGAAGTGTTCAGGAGGGGCAAAGAGGGTGGGGTGGTGCCCCTGGGTGCTTGGTGGCAACATTGCAAAATTTAGCTTTGATTAAAGGGAAAAATAAATCTCTAGTTCCACACTAAATTAGAAAGTGTGATTGAAAAGAAGCAAAAAGGCAACATCTCTTCTAAGCCAGGTTTTCCAAACTCAAAATTCATTGCCTTGAAACAGAGGTGGGCAACCTGGGGCTCTTGAGAGCCCTTGGACTGCAATTTACATGGTCCTCATCATTGGCTTTGCTAGCTAGGGCTCATGGGAGTTGCAGTCCAGCAACTGTGAAGGATTCACACTTTAAAACGTCCAGGAGCTTGAAGTCCCCATCAAGAATTGCATCTGTTCATATCCCTAAGAACATGGGAGGTAGGAAGGGAAGGAAATGGTGGGTGAGAAGCCTTCCGACTCGATTGGGCTACATCCTATGTGTCTACAAAAACTGGAAATGTCTGTCAGATTCAACTATGTCTCATGAAGACAGTGACACAGTGATGAGATCCAGCCATCGCAAAGTAGGAGATTTCTGTCATCTGTGGGTAACCCTTTGGCCTGCCACACTGGGGGATTTTTGGTTGAAGCTGGCAAGTTCAGACTGCACGTATGAGCTGCTGGCAGTTGGCTTAAACGGTACCACAATTTCCCCCCAAAGAGAAGCGTCCATTCCTGTTTGAGATACTCCTGGAGGGAGCCTGATGCGTGTGGTGAAACTTAACTTGGTTTGTCTTACAGATGAAGAATGCCAGTTATAACCTGGACCCTTACATACAAGAGTTCGGGATAAAAGTGAAGGATGACATGACTGAAGTGACCGGACGTGTCCTGCCAGCCCCGATCTTGCAGTACGGGGGCCGGGTAAGCAGCTCCTGCATGCTTTTCTTGCGGCTTGTGGTGGTGGGGGTGAAGTTGCGTGTGTGTTTGTTTGTGACATTTCTAGACTTTCCCATTGCCCAGAGGGCCCTCTGGGCGCTTTACAGCAAAATGCAGTGAGGTCAACAGTAGCTGTAATTGGCCATGCTGCCGGGTGCCTGAACCCGTGCCAAATGGGCAGTGCCCTCTGACATCGCCCAAGGCTGCCACCTGCTGAAGGAAAATGGCCGCTGGGGAAAGCCCTGCCCCCAGCCGGCAGGAGGGCTCGGCTCGGCTCCGCTCTCTCCTGCTCCGGCTCTTTCTCCCCCTCTCGCAACCTCAGGGCTGTGGCGTAAGGCGGTGGGGGGAAGAGCGATGGGGGTGCGGGTGGTCCAGGAGAACGGGTGCAGCAGTGGGGTCAGGCCGGCAGGTGGTAGCCACCCTGTGCTATTTAAAGTTACAATGCACTTGTATTTATTTATTTAGATACTGTATTTAGTCCCAGTGCTTGTCACAGATCCTAGGAGGGCCTGAATTAACCAGCTGTTCTTCAGAATGCCTCCAGAGAGTCTTTGCTCCTTTACAAAAAGAAGAGTAAATAATTTCCCCCCTTTTCGAAACATTCATGAGATACTTCGCAGGCTTCTCAGCTGCATTAGCACTAACCTGCATTTATACAAATCACTGTTGTCAAAAGCTAATGCAAATTAGCACGAGCATCCCCCTCCCACAAAAAAAAAATAGGGAAGTGGTCAATAAATCCATGCAACTTGGAAAAAGCTGTGTGCTGAGGGATCTGCAGGCTGGATGCAGAGAAATCCAAGCTTGTTTAAATCCACGGTGGTTTCTCCAGCATCCCTGATGGAGGGACTGTAAAACTTTGCAATGATCTCTGAGGGTGCTCAGGTTGAGGTGGTGGTTTCTTCTGTAGGAACAAACAGCCCTGTTACCTTTTCCCGCAGAACCGTGCCATCGCCACCCCCAACCAGGGGGTGTGGGACATGAGAGGAAAGCAGTTCTACAATGGCATTGAGATCAAAGTCTGGGCCATCGCCTGCTTTGCCCCTCAGAAGCAGTGCAGAGAGGAAGTTCTGAAGTGAGTGAGTGGCATCTTGGTGGGTGCAGAGAACCGAAGTGACTGCAAAATAGCCGTGCGGAGTCTCAGACCTGGAAGATACCACCAGCCCTCGTGGGGTCTTGGCCCAGCCCTCTGGGGTTTTCCAGGGGGCCTCTCCTGCTGGTCCCAGCCCTACCACCTTTTCCCTAACCGCTCATCATTTGGGCTCCTTTCATCTGTGCATGCCATCATCTCCCACTCCCCATTCAAAAAGGTTTAAGGCCCCTGATAAGACGAAGCTTTCAGATAAAACAGGGCAGTTTGTGGGCCGTTCCCAGCAATGGGGCGCGACCCCAAGAGCTCGGCCTTGGGCTGAAGGAGGTTCTGTACCCTTGCTGTGCAGAGACGGTGGCTCATGGTAGCAACGTTTACCTACCAGAAACTGCAGCACGGGGCAGCGGCTGGGCCAGTGGTCTGCCTCCTCCTAGGGTAGCCTCCTCTGCACTGGACCCAGCCCCGCAGCCCCAGGCTGGACTGGCTGCTGCCTTCGTTCCTTGTGTGTGAACATAGCACTTCAGAACAAGCCACTGTGGTGGCAGTTCAAAATGGTGGGGTGTGGCAGGAGCCAGAGGGGGGTGTCCACCCACAAAGCTTTCAGTGGGTTTGAAGGGGTGGACTCAGGATGTGCTCACTCAAACTCTGTTGGGAATGACGGGCGCCGTTATTCTCGGTGCGCTTTCCAGACCAGGGTGGCACTGCCTGTTTGGGTGAGGAGGCTGAGGACTGGGAAGCAGAGAGGAGGAGGAGGAGGGAGAGCTGCTCTCACAGCTGCTGTCTGGGTGTTCAGCCAGACCCTGGGAACCGACAGGGCTTGGAAGTGTGAGGAAGGGGCCTGGGAGAGGGAGAGCAGGGCTACCCACCTGGAGGGGCTGCCTAGATCTGGGAGGCTTGTCCATCTGCAGAGGGGGGGGGGTCAGAGGGACTGAAAGGGAGGGTATCTGTTCAGCAAACCTCCCTGTGCGTACTCGGCGGCTACGAGGTTTGCTGGCTGTACGTCGCTTTTGCCGAAGAAATGTCTGTTGCTGAAGAGGGGGAAACCTGGCTCCCAACACCTTTGTGCACAGGCCTGTTCTTGCTGATGAGAACACTGAATGATTGAAGGGTTTTGATGCAAAAAACGATGCCAGCATTTTGTCGAGTGAAGGCATGTCGAGCAGGCCTCCTTGTTAGTGGCCCCCACCCGCTTGCATGCTCTGCTATGAGCGGCTCAGGAGACAGAGACAGAAACAGGGACGGCCTTTGTTGCTCATGCAGAGGCACCTGGTTTTCTTCAGACTTTCGCTGATGCGTAATTGCACTTCTTTGTTTTACTGTTCCTTTTTTCATTAATTTATTCTTGTCTGTGGTTGTTAGTACAGAGTACTGCATGCATTTTTTCAAGATAGTTTAACTGCACAGGTGAGGTGCAGTTCTAGATAGGAGCAGGTAAAAAAGATGAAAAAACCCCACGCTGTTTTCTGTGGCCGTGACTGAAATTGTGATTCTGGCCGCCTCTGGGGCAAATTGCAGGGTGTCCTAGTTGTGCCGCTCTGGGATAATTGGATCAGCACCTGTTGTAGAAGGGGTTTATTTATTATTTATTTATTTAAAGTTTTTGTATGCTGGCCCCTTGCTATATTGCCTCGGGACGGCTCGCACAAATAAAGAAATATAATACAAATACAGTTAAAACCCAGAACCACCCCAGCTGCACAATTAAAACCTATACATGTTAAACATTGTTAAAATATTGTTTGAATAAAAAGGTCTTAGCCTGGCACCGAAAAACAAATAACGACGGCGCCAGGCGGACCTCTCTGGAGAGCGCATTCCACAGATGGAGCGCCACCGCAGAGAAGGCCCTCCGGGTACTTTGTCTCCTAATGTCTCTCCCAGAGGAGGGCCTCTGCTGCCGATCTCAAGGGGCGGGAGGGCAAATACGGGTTGCCCTCCTCTGCTTTGCATCCCCGTGTTTTATGGCAGCGATAAGAACCAGCATGCCGGGGCATAACTCCCCAGGACAAATATATCTAGTGCTAGCCGGGTCTGGTGGTTATTTCGGTCTTTTAAATGCTCACCTCCCCTGAGCTTGCAGCACCTTGACAGAGCAGAGATTAGTAAGGCTGTGCACACAGCTCAGGCCAGCGGGAGTCATGTTTGTCATGCCGGATGTCCCTTGACTGCCACTCCCAACATCCCCTGCCAGCAGTGAGGGATATGGAACAGTCCGGTAACGTCGACAAGCCACGCGCTACCTTGCTCTGATGGAAGGCCTTGGGGAGTGGGCACCAGCGCTGCTGGCTGCTGCGGGAAAAGCGCCATGCTCTCCCAGCCCCTCCAGAGGAGCTGCCCCAGTCACAGAAGTGGAACGGGGCGTGTGCCTGTCTGCTCATGCGATCCCTGCAGAACTTCAGAAGAACAGCTGGAACACAGGGCCCCTTTCCCTATTGCCCTGTTTCAAAAGCATGTGTGGGCATTATGGGTTAATTTTATCCTATGGTAAGCAGTCTCAAAGGCCTTTTGGACAGAAAAGCAGAAAACAAATACTCCTTCTCCAACTTGGTGTCTTCCTTTGGATGCCAACTCCCAGTGTCCCATGGAAGCTGGGACTGGTGAGAACTGGAATCCAAAGCAGTTGGGGGACGCCAAAGCAAAGGAAAGCATGTGGGGAAGGCTACTCTAGGTAAATAGGCAGACATTTTTATACTGGCAACCAGTAAGTCCCCAACTGAGGGTTTAAATACTTTAAGTCCCTTCTTTAAACCTAACCTCATGAGAACTGAAGCAAGGTCTCGGAGCATTCTCATGAACAGACATGCCTCGATTGACTAAAAAGGTGCTTGGATGCCATCGAGCCACCCTTCTGAGGTTTTTTAAAATTAGTTTGAACAGTGTGACCCATGTTCAGATCTTGGCACTGCTAAAACAGCCTTTTAATTTCACTATATCCATAAATAAATGCACTTTGAATGGAAATGCTATATACTGGTTGGAAGAGAAATGCAAGATCTGGCTTTGCCAGGTCTCCAGAAGAAAAAAAATCCAAAATTGAGGAGCAGCCGTCAGAAGCACACTTTTTGGAGAGGCTTTCGGCAACAGCTTGTGCATTGAAAGCACTCCTGTTGCGCTGCCTCTGACAGCAGTCCTGGGGCTGCGCAGCCTCCCAGGCACCCTGTCCTTGGCAGACGCGCGCAGCACTTGTGAGCTCCTGGCTGTGGCTTCCTCCGTGGAGTCCGTCCATCCCAGAGCTGGCCTTCCCCTTCTTCCCCTGCCTGGGACCTGCCTGCCCCAGCGAGTCTCACCTGCTCATGATGTGCCCAGCGCACAGCAGCCTCCGTCCCATTAGTTCTGCTCCCAGGGGAAGTGCTGGCTTGATTTAATCTAGGATGCCCTTGCTTGTCTTTCTGTTGGGTATGCACAAATAAACTGGGTGCAGAGGGGCTAGAGTTTGCCAGGAGCGACCCATGTATGGTCTCAAAAGAGGAGGTAGCCAAACACATGGGGAGACGGCTACAGCTCAGTAGTAGAGCATGTGCTTTGCCTACAGAAGGTCCCGGGTTCAAATCCCTGCACCTCCAGGTAGGGCTGGGAAGGGCTCCTGTGCCACTCCTTGTAGCGCTGTTGGTCCCTGAAGGCAGTGCAGAGTGAGATGAACGGGGGTCTGACCCAGTGCAAGAGGTTCAGGCATGAGAAAGCTGTTACAGTGCTGGTGAGCCATGGCTTGCTTCTTTCTTTGCGCCAGTTAAGATGACCCTGGGGAGCTGGGAATGGGGCCCTGCAGTGCTGTAAAGCTGGAGCCCAGTTCCTGGGCTTTGCATGGTTAGGGGGCCTTCTGTGTGGGGATATACATGATGGCTGGGAAGTGATGCTACAGCAGCTACCTGGGAGCTCAGAGACGAGCTGTGGCCCTTTCGGGTGCACTTGTGTGCCCCGGATTGGACTTCGGCTCAAGGCTGGGGCTGACATACACCGTGCAGCCGGTGCTCGGTACAACAGCAGTTCGTTTTCCCTCCTAACTTGCTATGCTCTTCCCCTGCTGCAGAAACTTCACCGACCAGCTGCGCAAGATCTCCAAGGATGCTGGGATGCCGATCCAGGGCCAGCCGTGCTTCTGCAAGTACGCGCAAGGTGCTGACAGCGTGGAGCCCATGTTTCGGCACCTGAAGAACACCTACTCAGGGCTTCAGCTCATCATCGTGATCCTCCCAGGGAAGACGCCGGTGTATGGTAGGTCAACAGAAAGGGCTCAGGAAGTGGATTTGGGAGGTGGAATTTCTGTTTGCTGAACCTTGTTAGCTCTACACTCCCAAATGTTAAAAAATAACAAGGGGTATTCCTTCCTGCCGAAAGGTAGCAGGACAGCAAACTTTCTCTTTGCCTGGCAGGTTAGCTTTCTATATTTTTTATTTCCAAATTTCAAGCTCAGCAGTCTTCCTTGGGCAACTTACAGCCAAAATAAGAACAGGTAGCCCCAACCCCACTCCACCCCTTCAGCAAAACTCAGCACAGGGTTAAAGCAGCTTAGGGGGCAGGGAATCCAAACATCCAGTGGCCCTCTTGATGCTGCCTTGGGGCCATTGACTTGCCCTTCCCCAGAATTGTAGAAGCCTGGGAAGATGGAAATGCCTTTACTAGCACTGGACGACAGTAGAGTAGGAAAGCAGGTGAGGAAATATGGAGCAGATCCCTCGGGACACACGTGGGCTGATGTTGGAGGAGGTAATCTAAGGGTGCTTGGATCCCAGCTGTGTAGGGAAGTGCAATGCTTCACCCAGCACTTAAAGTGGCAAGGGAGCTGGCGACACCGTCCTGACGTAAGTAATTTATTATGTACTATTGTATTTCAATGTATTATATCATGTTGTAAGCCGCCCCGAGGTTTCGGCAAGGGGCGGCATAGAAATGCTATAATAATAATAATAATAATAATAATAATAATAATAATAATAAGCAGGATATCTCTTCCATCCTCCCGATCCCCGTTAGGAGTCTGGCAGCCCTACTTTGCATGTGCTAAGCTTCCAGAAGATCTTCCAGGGCAGCCCCCTAAAGAATGCATTGCAGGAATCCAACCACCGTAGCTGGGGAGTGTGTGTGTGACTTGGTGCCAGGATTCTCAGTCCTGTGTGTAACTGTGCCCTATGGTGATGCTTTGGAGGCGCTCCCCTGCCCCCTGCTCTTTCACTTCCTCCCTCTCTATGGTGATGCTTTGGAGGGCCCCCCTCTGCTCTTTCACTTCTTCCCTCTCTATGGTGATGCTTTGGAGGGCCCCCCTCTGCTCTTTCACTTCCTCCCTCTCTATGGTGATGCTTTGGAGGTCTTCCCTCTCCCCTTTCTCTTCCTCTCTCTCTCTGGTGGTGACATTTTTCTGCAGTAATTTTGAAAAATTGATAGGTTTTATGGCAAGTAGATATGGGTTGTTCGTAACTCGGGGACTGCCTGGATATCTCCCCGTCGCCCTTTCCTGCCTCCGAGGTGGAGGAGCCTCAGGATGCCTGCTGTCCTCTTTTGTTGTCCCCAGCGGAGGTAAAGCGTGTGGGAGACACGCTCCTGGGCATGGCTACTCAGTGCGTGCAAGTCAAGAATGTGGTGAAGACGTCGCCCCAGACGCTCTCCAACCTCTGCCTCAAGATCAATGTCAAGCTCGGGGGCATCAACAACATCCTGGTGCCCCACCAGCGGTACGTGTGCTCTGGGGGGGGCTGCTCTCTTTGTACCCCCACGGCGCTCTTCCTCTTTCGTGGCTCTAAGGGGTGATTTGAAGCATGCTTGCGAAGGCCAGCCTAGCTGCCTGGGAACACACACCCTGGGAGTGAATGTGAAATTCCCAACATGGGTTCCCTTTTCAGCGAGGGGAAAATGGCAAGAGAATGTTTCTGGCCCACCTTTGCCACGGAAAGCCTGTTCAGTCACTAAAGCGAGCGTGCAGAACCTTTTCCGAATCCGTGAGTCAAATGGCAGTTTGGTGAAATTCTTGGGGGCAAGTTCCAGCAGTGCTTGGGGCCCAAAATAAAAGGGCCAGGGCCATGCCAACAATGTTGGCATGGAGCTCGTATCACCAATACGCAAGCCTTGGGAGAGACATTTCAGCTTTGCAGAGGGAGGGGAAAAAAACATGCACCCAAAGGAGCAGCAGTCAGGGAAGCGATGAGGGTGGGGTATTTGTGGCCTTATAGGGCACCCCGAAGGCCCTGCAGATTTGGCCCTGGCCCTGCACCCCTGCTACAAAACAAGGCTGCATATACTCTGCAGCCCCGTATGCCATCCCTGAACCAAAGAACTGGAAGCAGCATTCCCAAATGCATTATGCATAAATTAAGCACATCTCGTCTCCGCTCTTCTTTGCAAAGTTAGTTAATTGCATCATTACAGGGCCACATTCCTCGCCGTTGCCTCCCAAAGCTCAAGAAGCGCACGGGCCAGACTCAGGCATGCAATTTACCACAAGGTCCCGACTTCACAGTTTGACAAGCCACAGAGTTTCAGATGCAGCCCATTGAAAGACAGCGGGTTGGCCCAGAGCGAAGGGCTTTGGCAGGGGAGAGAGAAGTCTGCATTTCCACTGGCCACCGATCCTCTTCCCTGGAGGTATCTGTGGCACCTTTTTACCAAAAAGAAAAGTCCTGATGCAGGCACAGTTTGTTCTTTCTGTAGCCACGAGGGAGGAGCAGGAAGCCGTGCGGGGCCCGTGCTGGCTGTTTTTGTTTTCCGTTCAGCTTCTTCAGCATCCCAGGAATCGCCCGTGTGTTTTCACGCTTTGGGCCAAACTGTGTGTTGAGCCAACCTGCCCCTTCTGGTGCTCCCCAGATGTGTGAATTACTGGGACGTGCTGGGAGTCCCAACAACTTTTGGAGGACCAGAAACTGGGGAAGGGGGCGTTAAAGTAACCACGGTTTGAAAAGAAATGAAAAAGAAGAGTTGTGCTGGGTGTTGCCATGTCCGTTTGAAGGAGGGACAGCTGCGGCCAGCCCAGGGCAGTTTCCGAGGCGAACGGCAGTGCAGGAAGGGGAGTCGGAGGAAAGGGGGCACAGCAACGCGCACAAGCCCGCCTGTTTTTTCTTCAACATAAAGTGACGCCGCTGTAGAAAACACGCGTAGCATAGTGGACACTTTGGTATTTCCTGGTTCAGCTCTGTGGTCCAGATGTGAAAAGGGCTATTGCGGTAGAACAGCTGTTTCCCACGCAGGTCCAATCCTGCCCTAAACAGGCGCTGACTCAGTGCCCACAGGTTTGGGCTCGAGGGAGCAGTGGTTTCACTCGGCAGCCTTCCCTTTTCCTTTTTCAAAGTTTGGAGCAGATTGTCTTGGAGCAGACGGTCTGAGATGCTCCTTTGGGCATGGCACCTGAGCCCACAGCCTGTGCTGACGTAATTGCACATGTGTAAATGCACACAGGTGCGTTAAATCCCAGGAACAAGCCTTTGTGGTCAGAGGGGAGTGCCTCTTGCACAGTTCCTTCCGAATCGCACAGATGTTCGGCCTTGCTTCCATCTGCTGCAGCCTTCCCTTTCTCCTCACATCCCACTTCTTCCCACCTGAATCCTTAACACACATTTTGTCAAATTATATAAGTATTTGTATGCACGGGTATGCATTGAGCAGAGTTTATTCTAAGTGCACAAAATGTTTCTTTTGGGACAAAGCTGGAATTTTGGTGATAGTGGCAAGAAACAAAAACTCACAGACCCTGACCAATAGTTCTTAAAGCGACAGAAGACAAGTATCCAAGAGCCCAAACTGCAAAGAAATGTCAGGTTATTAACCTGGTTAGGGGAACATGCTACCCTCAGCCAACAGGCACTCATACACCTTTGGTAGTAGCTTGTACTAAACCTTCTGTCACCTCTTGTCTCTAGTTCTGCCGTCTTTCAGCAGCCAGTTATATTCCTGGGAGCTGATGTAACTCATCCGCCTGCAGGTGATGGAAAGAAGCCCTCCATAACCGCTGTAAGTCCACCTCTGCATGACTGTGGTTTTGTGGAAGTTTGAGGCAGTTAGCATCCTGCTATCCACCCATCACCCAACCTGTTCCTCCAGGATAAGGTGTCATGCATATTTGTGATGCTTGTGTGGGCAGCCGGGCAGCTTGCATCCTAAAGCAGCTGCTTAGCATCCCTGGGCAGGGCCTGGGGCGTCCTAAGATGCCATTGCTTGTGTATGTGGCAAGGATAAAAGCTGTCCATACAGCATCCTTTAAGAGACAAAGAATATGACTTTTTTTAGATGCACACACAGCAAACAGTTTTAAAGAATGCAAGTCTGTAGTCCCTGTTGATTGCAGAAAACTGCTTCTGAAAACTCAGTTTTGGACCATGTGGATCCTTTTGCTCTCTTGGGGGAGACTTTAAATGGAGAAGGGTATGAAAGCAGAGAGAATGAGTGAGGTGGGACAAGAGATAGGAAGAAGGAACATTGTTGCGGGGTGTCAGCTCACAGTTGTAAATGACCCACACTTACGCAGGCAATAAAACTAAAGTCTTTTATTGCTACTTTTCTACAAGATTTACGATGCTACGAATAAGCTCTACTGCAATGACCTTTACAAGTTAGTTGCTATCTTCTTAGTGATGTCTCTCAGGGAACCCACGTGGGATTAGCTTTCTTCGTCCCACCTTTCCCCCCTGAGGTGGGACAAAGCCTCCTTTTGTTCCAATCAGCGTAAGCTACGTCTAAAAGTCGCACAAGTCAAATATATCCTGCCTCTTGCGTCTCCTGTATCTTGTTCAGGAGACTCAGCTTCAGGAGGAACGGGGCATCCTGCCCACGCTTTTCAGAGGCAGAACGTGTAGTGTCTTTTCCCTCGGGCCCTCGTGGTCGGGCTGAGGTGTGGCTGTTTGCCCAAGGGGTAAAGGGTCAGGATGAGGGACGGCTACCTGTTCAGCTACTCCCAAACCAGGTTGTGGAAGCGTCGCTTGGCCACAGGGCCTCAAGTATAAGTCCTCCTGTTCTGATGCCTGATTCTCTCTTTGGGCGTTTGACTCTTCCTTGTGAGGTGTCGCCTCTGTTAAGGCTTCAGGCACGACAAACATGCAATGAGAGGCTAAAGATTAGCCGCTGCCCCCTGCCCCCCCAATTTTGGGAGGCCTGTGTGGCTGCCAGGATATGTTCTGGCTCTGAGCGATGGGTCGTGTTCCTTCTGCATCTCTGGAAGGTGGCATGAGGTCAAGGACAAATTCTTCCAGCTGATGGTGGTCCATGGAGGCGCAGTGCCTTCCTCCACGGCTCTGCCTGCTCTTGGAGCAACAGAGGCAGTGGCAGGCCAGCCTGCACTTCTGGTTCCCATGGCACAACGTAGAAGAGGCTTTCCAGCCCCCTTTGCTGCATGTGTGGCTGCTGCTGGACAAGTCCTTCTGCATGCAGGAGCAGCAGAGCCAGCCCGAGACGTTCGACTCCGGGGCTCCTCCGTGCTGCGTCTGAATCCAGAATGTTGGCTAGTTGAGGGTGAGAAAACCCAAGCCAGGCATCCTGTGCTTTCCCAGGTTGCTTGGCCACACACAGCGAGAAAACGAGCCCTACTCCCTGGGCACAGCTACCCTGTTTTTTAACAGAGGGTTGCTCTGATGCGCATACCGGGTCACGGCCCCCATCGCCTTGGCGCTAGAGGCAGCCTCTAATTCTGGCTTTCCGCTTGTGCCCACGGGTGGCAGATGTTCAGGCAGTGATGGGGAGAGAGCTGCAGGCTCCTCTCTCTCCCCTGGGGAAGTGGTCAAGGAAGGTGCCGAGCCCTGCGGTAGGAGTGGGAGGGCCGCGGGGGTCCCGGGAGCCCCCTGGCAGTGGGGTCCAGGTGGGGCACAATCTCTTCCCTCTGCCTCTCAGTTCCACCTTCCTGACTGAACGGTTCCCTGCCTGAGGGAGGGGCGTGCCTGTCGCAGGCGCAGACCCGTGTAGGAGGGAGCACTGGCCACTGGCGTGCTTGGGTGTCCCTTGAGGCACAGCTGGGCAGTGCGAGGTCATGCAAATACGGCGCAGACATCCTGTCTCCCTCACTGCCCCCACCTGCTGTCGCCACCCAACCTCTTCTTCGGGTGACTATTCCAAAAGTCCAAGTGGCGGCTGCAGCCTGACATATCGTCCGAACTTGGTGCAGGTGGTCTGGGTGAGAATTCACAACTTTCACATGACCCTAAAAGAGCCCATGGGTTTTGCAAGGGTTGTTTAAGTCTCACACAATCCATCCCTGCTGGGTTCAGGTGACACAACAAATCAGAGTCTGGGCTTCAAAATTTGAAATGGCTGCTGGCACAAGCCGCAACCCACCAGGTTTCACCCTGAGCCCTGATTCTTCCTGGGCAGGGAAGCCAAGGCTGTCCTTCGTTTTTGGAGGTGTTTGAGCTACAGCCAGCAGGTGGAGCCAGTGAGACAGGATTTGGAAGGTAGCACGCCTTAAAACTGGTGTTTCCGGAAAAGTTAAAGTGTGCGTTTTTCAAAAGCAGATCGGCTGCACCTAGCCAGAAGGTGGCTAGCAGGTTTTGTGCACAATACCTTTTGGGCAAGATAACCAGGCCCCCTCCAGTGGAGTTTGACTACAGCTCCCATCACTCTCCAGCCAAAACAATCAGTGGGCATGCTGGCAGGGGATGGTGGGAGTTATAGTTCGGCAGCTCTGGAGTGTGCTGGGTTGGGGAGGCTGCCATGCAGCCCCTTTCTATGTTAGCTTGAGTTGAAAAGAAAGTGTATTAGGGAAAAGCATGTGCTAGAAAATGATCATGGATTACTTTCATGGAAAATAATCATTGGAGAAATGGCATTGCAGAAAATGTATGCTGTCGGGCAGAATTGCTTATGGAAATGCATTTATTTGAAAAAATGTGTAAGAGTGCTTTTAGAAAAAGCTTCGATGAAATGTCAAAGTTGAGAAGAGCTGGTTAGAAAAACAAGGCATGGAGAGCCGTTGTAACCGGCAGGCGCCCTCTCCCCTGGCGGGCCAACATGTCCCTTGTCCTCTCCAGCTCTCGGCAGCCTCTCACGTCTTTCCCCCACTGGTCCCTGAGGCACGTGGATCAAATCACCCCGGCAAGGGAGTTGTGGCAGCAGCAATCTCTCTCCCGTTTGGTCTTCTGTGGCTGCAGGTGGTAGGCAGCATGGATGCCCACCCGAGCCGGTATTGTGCCACGGTGCGGGTGCAGCGGCCTCGGCAGGAGATCATCGAGGACCTCTCCTACATGGTGAGGGAGCTGCTCATCCAGTTCTACAAGTCCACTCGCTTCAAACCCACCCGCATCATCTTCTACCGTGACGGCGTGCCAGAGGGACAGCTCCCGCAGGTCAGGGCGCCCTTCCTTCTGAACCACCAGGGATGCTCTGCCAAAGCAGGGTCTCATGCAGCAGGGGTGTTTCGGCTCTCTTGGCCTGCGCAGGGCTGGAATCCAGGTTGGAGGAGGTTTCGGGGACTTCACTTGAGCAGAACACGAGAGGGATGGGGCCAGAAGAGCAGCAGGACCATCTTGTTTTAGCCAAAAGCTCTGGCTACCAGGAAAGAAGCCTTGGAAGAGATGCTTCAAGGGCAGCCTCCCTCACAGTGCCATCGAATTAGCTTAACCCAAGATGAGCACCACGTTGCCATCGCCTGCTAGGCAAGGGGAGCAAACTGCTGTTCACAGCAGGATCTCTGTGGCAGATGGACCCTTCTCCCACTGTGCTCCAATAGCATCACCCTTGAGCTGGCTTCTGCGAGCTGCACCTTTAGAACACTCGGGCTGTGACGGCACTGGGCATGGCACTCAAGATGACCAGCAGGAGCGGGGAGCTGCAGGGAAGCTGGGGGAAGGGGTGTGGCCAGTGGAAAGGGGTGTGGCCTCCTGGGAAATCCCTGAACTCTAAATAGGCTGCATTTGGCTTGCAGCCCTGCCACGAGGAACACTCTGGCCTGCGTCTATACTGACTCTGGTCAGTGTGGATCCCGCAGTCTGGCAGATGAGAGCAGCTCTGCTGAGGTGGCCCAGGGGTCCTGGTTGACTAGCATCCCGCAACCTGATGCACTCCAGGCTGGTCGGGACTTCAGGTCCTGGCTACTGAGAGTCATCCTCCCAACACAAAATGAGAACATCAGGCTGGGGAAGGCTGCTGTCACCCGTTGCCCCGTTTCCCACACGAGGTGCTTCTGGGAAGCCCGGAAGCATGGCTTGAAGGCCCCAGTCCCACCGTGTCATTCCCTGCAGGGGAATGGCCCCTAATCCTGGCGGCCCCGTGTGGAGTGAGTGGGCCCAGGGCTCCCGCTTTGCAGTCGTCCCAGGAGCCCGTGTGACTGGTTTCTAAAGGGGAGGACACTGCGGAAAAGGTGAGGGGAGAGCAGGGGACCGAAGGGGGGCAGAGGCCTTGGCAGCCCACTCAAGGGCATGGCCCACAGTTTTGAAAGAGATGGGAAGGGGCCCAGGAGAGCCTTGCCTGATCCCTGACCCCGTGGCAAGGAGACGAGCTGCCCAGCTGGAGGGCTTGTGTGTCTCTCACGGGCTGGCTCTCTGCGAGGAAGTTTCCTGCTTGAGTTCACTCTTTACATGTGCAGAGGCTATCGTTCAGCTTGCCAGCATGCTTTTAGAGTTAGCTGTGAAATGCCAGTAAAGATCTGCATTGCCAGGGATTCCTCATGGCACTGCTGAGACAAGAGTGGCCCTCGTTCCCTCCCTCCTTCCCATTTGGTGAATTGGTTCCGTGTACTCTCACAGTCCCCTTCCAAGCCAGGGCCACCACTGTGGCCTCTTCTGAGGCCTTTGTTTGCAGTCTCAAGGGCATACCAGCCAGCCATTCCCGTGGAGCTTCCAGGATGACTTTGTCACAACAGGCATTCTTCTTTTATTAAAAAAACAAAAGCACAAGTAAAACGTAGGAAGCTGAAATTCGGGGGTGTTGCAGGCCAAGCACTTTGTGACAATGTCACAGAAGAATGAGTTGGTAGGAGTGCTCATGTGTAAAATACAGGACAGAATGTGCACCGGGGTACAAAAGTCACCCCCCAAATGTGGGATAAAGGCTGTGAAAATTCTATTCCACTTCCGTGGCCTGAATGGCAATGTTGCCTTTAGCTCTGTTAGCATATACATGCTTTCTTCAGATTACTATTTGCTTTGTTTAAAAAAACCTGCTGGTGGTGACTGCTGTCTTAGAGGAAGGGCTGTGGCTGGACGGCAAAGCACGTGCAGAGAGCAGCTGCCAGCCTGTGCTGAGCTAGATGGGCCAGGCAGCTCTCATCCTGTGTGCCTGTGTCCGTAGGGCAGTGCCTCTTCCACTTTCTGCAGGTCCTGTTGGAGGCTGCATTGCAAGTTAGACCTTGAACATGAGCCTGGCCAATAGCTCTTACTGAATCCAAGCCAAGAAGGCCGCACACGTGTGCCTGGGGGAAGCGCTGCTTGTCTGTGACCGTCCATTCTCCTTCTGGGAGGCAAGGTGGCCCTCCTGCATCCCTCTTCCTCCTCCTCTTTAACACTCTGTAGCACTTTCCCTTCTAGATCCTTCACTACGAACTCCTGGCCATCCGTGACGCGTGCATCAAACTAGAGAAGGACTACCAGCCGGGCATCACCTACATCGTTGTTCAGAAGCGACATCATACCCGCCTCTTCTGTGCAGATAAGAATGAGCGGGTAAGGCTCAGCGACGGGCTGCGTTTTGGCTGCTCGCTCCTCTGGCAAGGCCCCTTGATCCCGCTGCCCTGGGCACCAGGAAGGTGCCCTCAAATGGTTTAGGTACAGGTGAGTTTGAAGGGAAACTGAAATAGTTTGTCCTCCAAACTCTGGGCCATGGCCAAAGAGCAAGGAACCAGAGCTTCGTGGACCCTTCCTAGCCATACTGCACAAATACAAATTTGCTGGGCAAGTGCAGAATTTAGGATCTGGAAGACTTGGCCTTTTGCCCAATTTCTAGTATTTTAGGATGGAGAGAAAAGCTTGGGAGCATTTGGGCAGAGGGGCTAAGCAGGACCTCTGCCAGCCCGGAGGGGAGGATGGTGGATGCTCTCCGTGAACTTTTGTCCTCTTGCCTTGTGAGCCCAGACACAAAGCTAGAGAAGACACACAAATTGGCCATATGCGTTTCTCATCCATATGGGACACGTAAGCGCAAATCGGCAGTTTAACAGGAGATCATCCTAGTATAACTAATCATCTTAACGAAGCTTGTGAGATTAAGTCACCCTTTGAAGTTCATCTTTTAACATTTCATCATTTTGCAGACGCTCTTCCAAAAATGGGTTTGCTTGAGGCCCCAAAGAGAACGCTTTTAGGGAACTGTAGAGACCAGATCACCACCAAACCCAACATTGCAGGCAATGGTTCCTGCTGCAGCGTTTCATGTTTATTTTCTTTTGAAATGAACCCTACAGATCGGCAAAAGCGGGAACATCCCAGCAGGAACCACAGTAGACACAAACATCACGCATCCCTTTGAGTTCGACTTCTATCTGTGCAGTCATGCCGGCATTCAGGTACCTTCCTCTCGTAGCCTCTGTTTTGTGTGTGTACGTGGGGGAGAAGGGTTGTTCATAGCAAAGCCACAATCCCAGAACACATTTCCAGGCAACAGTCCCTGCGCTCTCCTTGTGGAGGGAGGCAGGGATGTGGATGCGCTCTGCACTGGTGTGTCCTTGAAGCAGCGGCTCCGCAGGAAGGACTCGCAGCTGCGTGTTGACTGCAGGGCAAAGCCAAGCCAAGCCAAGCCAAGAGGGCCGAGTCTGGCCTGGGAAGCCGCAGTAGTGGCAGTGGGTGGGGTGGGTGGCCAACATGCATCGAATTGGGCAGTCCTTAAAGAAGGCAAACGTTTGGGCTTACAGCCTGGACGTGTTGGCGACAAGTGGCCAGGACTGGGAAGACTGTGTCACCTCCTGTAGACCTCTTGCAAGCTGGCGGGGGTGTCAATCCACCCCTCCCCCCTTGTTTGTGTGCATGTGCTTCAGATCTTGCCCTGTCATCAAGGAAGGCAACCCTGCAGCACTGTATAGGAATGAAATAATATATATGTATCCCTGCTTTGCCAGTTTCATCACCACTACTATTGTTACTACATTGCATTTATATTCTGCCTTCTTGCAAGGAACCCAAGGTGGTCTAGCTAGTTCCCTTCTGCTCTGTTTTATTCTCTCAACAACCTTGTGAGGTAGGTTAGGCTGAGAGTTTGTGTCTGGCCTCTGGTCACCCAGGGAACTCATGACTGAACAGGGACTAGAAGCTGGATCTCCTAAGTCCCAGTCTGGCACTCTTAGGCACCACACTACATTGACTTTTTTAAAAAAATACATTGTTTTTATTATTTTCTTGACATAAACAGAATACAGAATAAAGGAAGGTATGTATATATAAAGTAAAATAAAATTGTTAAGGGATTTTGAACAAGTATAACCAATTCATTCCAGCCCACCAATTTCAAAGAGACCAAAAATATCTATCTTTCCATCATTCAATACTCTATGGAAGTTCAGAAAAAAGGGAATTATTATTCTTATACCAACACATTTTCCAATCACTTCAAATCAGTTATAAATTATCAACTACTTTTTGGAGCGCTTCCTTTTACATCCTATTAATTGTACTGTGTGTAATAGAATTTCCATTTGTCATTAAACTCTTCGGTCTTTCATTTACTTAATGCTGTCATCTGTGTGTACTCTGCCAAATTATTTTTCCACTCCACAATTGTTGGGGATTCTAGTGTTTTCCATTTAAACACACTGGCTTTTTAATGTTTTAAGACACATCCTTTGGGCTACTGCAGGTGGATTCAGCCTCAACCCTGGAGGCCAGATCCTGCCATCTGGGACTCCCCAGAGAGCTGCACCCCTTCCCCTGGCCCCAAACCGTGAAGGGCTGAAACTCTGGAATGGAAACTGTTCAGAAGCTGCCGCTGGCCAAGAATGCTGTCACCAGAACGTTAAGAGGCGCAAATGCCTCCTTTGTTGGAACAGCTTCCTTGGCTACCAGTTCCAAGCACAGGTTATGCTCTGTAAAGCCCAAGACTGGTTTAGGGTCTGGGTATCTGAAGGAGCGTCTCCTGTTTTACATATTTGCCCAGCCCCTGAGAACTGTGTCTGAGGTCCTTCTTTGGGAGCCCTCTTTGAAGGAGATCAGAAGAGTGACTACCCAGAGAAGGGCCTTTTTAGCAGCGGCACCTTGGCTTTGGAATCTGCTTCCCAGACAGGTGTGCCTGGCACCAACTCTCTGTTCATTTTTGCACCGGGCAACCCCTTTTTATTTTCCCTGAATTTTAAGATCTGGGATTTTAATGCTGTTTTTATTGACTTATTATTTATTGTATGTCGCCACTTCGTTTTGTATCGCCATCCTGGGATGCCTGTAAAGGATGGGGTAAAATGCTAGAAGGAAGGAAGGAAAGAAAGAAAGAAAGCTGCCTTGGGGCTGGGTGGTTTGAAAGGCCCGAGTCTTCATCCATGACTCTGCCAAGATGTAAAGAACTTTTGTGAGAAGTGCTTCTCTGGATACAGCTGCTGTCAACCTTACTTTACAGTTGTTCGTGGTTTTACTTCTTTTTTTATTGTTAGCTGCCTTCAGGACCAATAGCTGTCAGAAAGGTGGAATATAAATTAAATAAACTGAGGCGAGATGCTTTCCAGATGTGTTGAACTAGATCCCTGGCATTCCTGGGATTCCTGTCATTGTAGCGTGCGCGCGCGTGTGTGTGTGTGGCGGGGGACATGCTGCAGCTGCTGGTTCTGGGCTGTTTTACTACTTCCAGTATCAGGCAGGGTGCCAGTTGCTGGGGGACGTGGACGGGAGGGTGCAGTTGTTCACGTTCTGCTTGTGGGCTTCTAGCTGGACCACCAGGTTGGCCGCTGTGCGAACAGAACGCTGGATTAGACGGTCTCCTCTGAAGCCCCTGCGAAGGCTCCCTCCCTCCACGTTTGACTCACGCTCTTCCTCCTGTGCAGGGTACAAGCAGGCCTTCCCATTACTACGTGCTTTGGGACGACAACCGGTTTACAGCAGATGAGCTTCAAATCCTCACCTACCAGCTCTGTCACACGTACGTCCGCTGCACCCGCTCCGTCTCTATCCCAGCACCAGCATATTACGCCCGGTTGGTGGCGTTCCGGGCACGATATCACCTTGTAGACAAAGAGCACGACAGGTGAGTGCCTGGGACGGGAGCAGACATTTTTTTCCACCCAGCGTCACCCGCTTTTCCACCATTGCTTCATGGTTGAAAGCCTCGCGGAATCGAGAGGCAGTGGCCGTGAGCTGGGTGGCTTTTGTTGTGTGAGCGTGCCACATTTGCAGCCCCGGGCCCCAGCGTGAGCAGGCAAACACGCTTTCTGAAATGGCTGATGAATTCTCAGGCACCCCCAATCCCCCCCCCACCCCCGGAATGTGGCCCCTGCCCACGTCTTTGGAGTGGAAGTCAGTCCCGGGCTGAAAAAGGCTTCGCACCCCAGCTGCGTTGCCATGCCTCTTTCCGACTGTGGAATGAACAAGTGCTGATCCTGGGAGAGGCTTGCTTTTGCACCAGGGAAGTGAGTCCTGGGCTTGGGTTTTATCTGTTAACAACGAATGACCTTGTTTGCTTTGTCTCTTCTCCCTCCCTGCCCTTTTACTCCTTTCAGCGGAGAAGGCAGTCACATATCTGGCCAAAGCAACGGCCGAGACCCTCAGGCGCTGGCCAAGGCCGTGCAGGTTCATCAGGACACTTTACGTACCATGTACTTTGCTTGAAAGAGAGCGTAACTTTTTTACCTCACTCCAGAAAGCTTTCAGATCTGTAGGAGCCATACAAAAACCAAGGGAGCGCCGGGGCGCCGCGTGGGCATCCATTGAGAAATCACTGCAGGGCGTGGACAGCGTTGGAAGCAGGAAACCAGCATCCTTGGAGGCAGACGCAGGAGAGCCCTCCAGTGGGTGGACACACCTTTGTAGTATTGCAGAAGAAACTTTGTTTTCCAATTACCTGACCAAACGTATTCGAACCAAGGAAGGGATCTGACTTCCTAGGAAAAGAAAACAGGTTTTCATTTGCTGGGGTGGGGGAGTGACGCAATATTAGACTTTTTGACTGTGAAATAACTCTTTTGGTCCTCCAATGCGAAATCAAACGCTGGTAAGGTTTTTGTTCGGTATTATTTTGGGTGGGTGGGGGAAAAGGGACTTGTAGAGCCTTAAAACAGATGACTAGATTTATAAAAACTAATATTTTAGGATACAAATACTTTAATTGGTGAAGAAGAAAAAGAAAAGCCAGTAGTTTATAGATGAATTTTAACAGTTTCCCCTTCCCATTAAAGAAAAAAGAATTTTCTCCCCTTTATATATAATAATAATTAATAATGTAAGGCACCCCCAGCACTTACACAAAGCCGAAAAGGAAACTTGTCTTCCGTCTGATTAAAAGTGGGTCAGCTGCTGCCCTTTGGACGCAACAGTCGCAAACTTACCGTGGGCAAGTGCCTTACTGCAATGCTGCAACACACTGACATTTGTTCACCTTTCCAAGGAAAAAAGAAAAACAAACCAACAATGCTTTTGCCTCAGTGGTGGTCCAGTTCTCCATCCTGAAGGTGTTGGGAGTTCTTTTTAATGTCCGCAAAGCTTATGGTTTCATGTTAGCTCACAGTCTCATGATGGATTAAAATTCTGTGCACTTTTAACGTTACATATGAATTTGGATGGCTGCTGATAAAACCTGCTTTTTACAATACATGGATTTTATTATTTCTGATGTATTTTTTCTTTTTAATTTAAAAAACCCGACATTTCTGACAAATGGGGTGTGTTAAGAGGAAGAATGTTTTTGCCTACCCCGCGAGCACAAAGAGAACTCCATTATCAATTAATGTCCTGATTTTTTAATATACCGATGAAATTTTTTTATTACCAAGTGTTATTTTTATACAATGCCGAGTCTATTGCCAAAACCTACTCAAACTATTCATATTTTCAATGTTTACATCACTTTGTTCCCTGCCCCCTGACAAAGACTTCGGAGTGTTCATACAGCACAAGTTGGATTTCTTTGTGCTTTCTTTGGTGACAGATGCTAAAATTGGAATGATGCAGAGAAGATTCGTATGAGGTTGGTTTTTTCCCCATGAATTGCACTGCAATCCAGAGTGTTCTTATTCTATGTTATATAGCCTCCTTGAATAGTTTATTTTTTCACCTACTATAGTTTATAAATCCAGCATATTCTCTAACTGTCTTAATGGCTTCAGCTATTTTTAATTCTTGCCATTTTATTTTTTATATATATAACGGGGGGAAGGAGACCTGGAATTCTGTTTCCCTTTGCCAGCCTCTTCCACCAGGACTCTTCAGATCAGAACAACAACGCGCACTTTGCTGGCCGTGTATTAACAGTTCTTGATTCTGTTTGCATATGCAAAATTCATTCTTTGCCCCATGATGATGAACTCCGGCCTCACTTTCTGAAATAGGACATCTTGTGCCTGCAAGACAGGAGCTTCTCTGGCATCAGGTGGCTCGGAAGAGACAGATTCTTGCTGTTCTAGTGCAGAACTGGGCATGTGGCCGGAGAAGCAGATCCCTTTGATGCTCACACCACACGGTGCAGAACGTTGTCTTGAGCTGCCAGGCTAAGCCTTTAGAAGCAGAAAGCGTCTCCCGTGCCACCGTTCTCTGAGTGCGTCCCTTCAAGGCCGAGCGGCTCGTGGGGTGAAGGCAATGGACTGGCGCTTCCGCTGTAAGGTCAAATGCCCCGTGCTTGTCGTCCCTTCCTCCTCCCCTGCCGCCGTAGGCCAGAATGTTCACCCATTGCAATGCTATGCAAACAAAATAGCCAGTTGGAATAGAACACAATTGTGTTTTACACAACTCGGGCATTATGACTTGTCTCTGTCAGCCGTGATCCAAAGAAGTAGTGTAGGCATGCACTGGTGGCTTGGGTGAAGCCACGGGGGAGAGGGTCTGTCTTTGAGCCATCTGACTTCTGTCTCACATTGCGAATTGCTTTGGAAACCCCCCCGACTTCTGAAATGCTCTTTCCCTAATGTACTTCAGGGTGTGCGGTCGTGTGTGCGTGGTTGGCTGGTTTTTGAAGCACAAGTCCAGTGCACTATGGGCTGCACAGAGTACGTGAGCTGATATTTGGATCTTGATTTGTTTTCCCCATCCTGTTTCTTTTTCTTTCACTCAGCTGCTTTCTGAGTGTGATCGGGCACCATCTCATGGACAGAAGCAAACGTCTCAGTACAGAAAGGCTGATGTTGCTTAATTAAGTGCCTGCATGGGTAACACATCAACATCTTTCAGTGAGGATCCGGTTTCTAATCATTTTCCCTGCAAAGCGGGGAGGGAGCTGGGGCTCCCCAATCATGAGTTAGACCAGGAGTGGCGTTTTGAGTTTTTCTTGGCATCTATTCACACTGCCTGCCTCTTTGTCTCTGGTTCTCCGCTCGGACTGGGTTTCTCAGTTCATTCACCAGCATTGCAACTGAAAGTTTGGTTTGGGATTCTGAAGTGTTTTGAGCAAAAAAAATCGAAACAACTTGGGCATTGCAGAACATGGGGTTGGGGGCAGATTTAGAAGAAACTTGCAGCTTTGTAGAAAAAAATTAAAAGGAAAAAATGCTTTAAAACAAATACAAACCTCCAGGACTTCTTACCAATGGGCTGATTTTCTGATTTTTTGCACTCCGTCGTTAGGTTGCTGCTTTGAATGGAGGGGTGTTTGGCATGGTGTAATGAGACACACAGGCAGCTGGGGAAACATGTCTCTGTATACTTTCTGCTCCATCCTCCACTCTCCTCCTCCTCCCCACCTGGTGCATGCAGAGTTTTCACTAAGTGCCGTAAATGATGTCATTGCTGCACCCTCTATTTGAGCAAAGTTTCTGGGTTAGGGGTATCTTCCCCTCTTTTGTCTGTTTAGATGTTCTAAGAAACGTGTTAGAGCAACCTGCATGTTCTGTATAATGGAAGCTTTGCGTTCTGTTCCCGCTTAGCTTTGGCCAAACTGTATATTCTGTCCTCTCGATAGTCAGAGAGCACATACTGGAGGAAGGATTCTTCCTTGGTTTTCTTTTGCGCTGCAAGGCTACATATGGGATCCATGGAAGACTGCTTGGAACATTTCACCTTGCACCTTAGACTGTAACGTCACTGTGCCTCTTTTTCTTCTGCAGCTGGAGATGTTGCCAAATCCCCACAGGTGGAGTGCGTGGGGGGAGAGAGCGGCAACATCACGATGTAGCTATCCGTTGGCTTCTTTTCTATTTTTTCTCTTCTTTTTGTTTCATCTGCACTGCTGCTTGTTCCAGTTCATGCTAATATTTGAACAAAGAAAGAGGTGGCATTTCCCAACCCAGTGCCTTCCTGTTGGACCACGACTCCCATCACGGGCAGCCCAGGGTGGCAGTTGGCCAACTCACCTGGAGGGCACCAGGTTGGCGAAGAAGAGTGGGTGGAAGTGGGTCATGATGACAAGAACACGCTCCTTCAATGGTATTGAGGGACAACAGATGCATAACGATGGGACTCGGAAAGGTCCTTGGGTTCATGCCAAGGGACTTGCATGAGCCCAGTGGAAAGTTTGGTGCTCCCCACCTCCCTGGTGCCAGGCGGTGGACTGTGGCTGATTCTCTGCAATGGGGGTGGGGTGCCATCCAACGGATTATTGATGTAGAGTTTCTTTGGGCGTTGGAGCCAGACGGTCCCCATTCCCAATGTTCCTGGCCGTCCCTTGGCCATCCTGGATGGGACTTCTGCTCATCTCCTGTAACACCTGCACAGCCACAAGTTCTCTGCACTTGGTCTGAGGACATGGCTCGGAGCGTAGGATATGAAATAGCAGGGTGGATCGTCTTCCCTCTCAAGGATGCAAGCTTTTTGTGTTGTGCCCCACTTTTCAGGCAGAATATGAAGATAACTTGGTTGATCAGAGGGCAAAATCAGGTGCAACTTCACATTCTGTATAATATGTGGGTATAAATGCTTACACAGAACCAATTGTAGTTCTGAGTAAAAGATGCTGTTCTCTCTGTTGAATTCTGTAATGCTAAAATGTGCAAAAAATTCCTTGGCTACTAAACCTTGGTCTCTAAACCAGTACACCATCATGCCTGGTATGATTTTGTCTGTTCATTTGGGACCAAGCAAGCAACTAATTTCCACAGAAAACTGTACAAGAATGCAGCAGATTGTTCTTCTCTTTCCCCACCCCTTCCTTAATTCAAATGTTTGCTAAGCATCTGGACAGCACAGTGCAAACTTGTTGTGTTGGTCTTGCCTGGAGAGAAGTGTGAGCGACACAGCAGAACAGCAATAAAAATAAGTGAAACCTGTATCACACATGCGCATGTAATTTTGCACTTCCAAATAATTGTGAAATTTAAAGTGACGGCAACTCTGATTTGCATTGAAAACTGTTTTTTAACCTGTTACAAGGAAGCATTGAAGTGTAAATAGAGAATGTTCACAAAACACTATCGATTGGGGTTTTGTTTTCTTGTTTGTGTTTTTTATTTGAAACTGAACGTTGTATGGTCCGTTTATTAAACAGATTTTAACTACTCTTGCATAAGTCCTTATTAAGAAAGGCAAACTGAGATGTATATTTATAAAGAAAATGGTAGCTTATCTTTTCAAAATCTGAATATCTGTTTTTTTCTGCAAGGAGTAGAACCATAATATCTGACATGAAAGGAGAAGAAAATCCTGCGAAGGGTATGCAGTTACGAAGCATTTAAAATTTATTCTTTGTTAAAGTACAGGTGTCCACTGCAGGGGGAGGCATTCCACTGCCACTAAATGGTTTGGACCATTCCTTTTGTAATCCACACCCATCATAGCCAGTGCTCGTGGATTATGGGAATTGTAGTCCAAAGCATCTTGGGAGCCACTGGGTTACCTGATGAGCATTCCTGTTTTGTTTTCTGCAAAAGGGTCTTCTGGCCTGTGAAGCCGCCTTGTCCTTCTGGACTCCTTGTATGTTGTATCTTCAACATGTCATAAGTGGCATAATCCAACAAAATAGATTAAGTTCCAAAATAGGCAACCAAGAGTGGGAAACGAGTGGCAAAAATTAGAAAAAAAAAATAGAACACAACACATTTTGGATGCTTTCCTCGGGGAAATTTGGGGTGTTTTGGGGTGTGAATATGGCTGGCAACACAGGTGGATGACAGAGACTGCAAATCCATTTTCAGAAAAACTGGGGGCCAAGTTGTCTGGTTTATGATCAAAGTTGCTTCCTCTCCTGCCCCTTTGTTCTACACTTGCCAGAGCAGAATTTATTACATCAAGTTGAGACTGGCCCACCTGAGCAGAATCCAGATTTATGAATAACAAAGCCAAGCTCATAGACGTGACCTGTAATTCACCTCACCGGTGTATTTTGCCGGCTAGCTACAAAGGCATACATTGGTCTTCAAAGTGCCACAAAATTCTTTGTATTTCAATCCTGTTTGACTGGGCTTCTGGTGGTGGAGGTACGGCCACTTGTCCAGGAAAGGATGACCCACTCTTGCTCGAGTTGCTACCTCCAAAAGAAGGGTTTGGAGTTGGCCATCTAGTGCCAGAGCTCTTCTGACATCGTCCACGGGGACAGAGGGTGGTTTTATCCCAGCTCTGCCCATCGGTCCACGTGGCTCAGGGCTGTCTTCAGAAGCTCTCTGGAACACTCCAGATTTTCAAACAAGGCTTTCAGAGACCTAACCAGAGAATGAATCTTGGGGCCTTTGAATGGCAATAGTGTGCTCAGCCACCGGGTTCTGCTCTGACCCTTTCCTGAAGGAGGGAAGGATGTCCAGAGCATCTGCAGAGGAGCAAAGCAAAAAATGGGAAGTAGCAACAACAGGATTGTTGTCTGCAACTACTCCTAACACACCTTGGCTTTTCATGGAGCAGGCAAGATTCCTAAAACGCTTGTTCTTGGTCATGAGTGTAGTTCTGAGTTCCAAATCACCTTAGTTCCAAGCTTTTGCAAGAAGAAAGTGATGCATCTTCCACATTTCTTAGAATACTGCTTATATTCCAAGGTGATTAATTTTGGAAAAAAGTAGCCCTTTTGTGGTGTAAAGCCGTGTGGCTTGGTTGAAAATTTTGTCAGGTGTGTGCTGGATGTAGGGGAAAGAAACCTAAGTTTAGAATTTCTCTCATTTTCCTTTCCTAGTAATTAAAGTGTAGCAGGATATGTGTCTTTTCTTTTTAAAGGCCCGCTCCCCTATCTTAATGTGAGGTGCTTTCCAAGTTATAATCTGTTAAAAGGTAGAATAGCTGCATATTAGGAGGACTGGGTACCCTCTATCTGGAAGCACCCACTGTTTATAGTGTTTGTGCCCACCCGGATGCCGTTGAACTGTGATGCCCATCATTCACCACTGGTCAGGTGGGCCTGAGCTGATGAGTGTTGTAGTTCAACATCTGGAAGGCCACAATTTCCCTGATTTTACGCATCATTACACCCTAATTTAATCTTACAGGGTGTAGTGAGAGCCATGATTAACGAGAAAAACATCCTACAACTCCCAGCATGCCCTAGATTGCACCCTTAGGTTCCTACATCCCATGAATGCAATGCTCTTGCAAAATGTTCTGTACCATTCGTGTTTTTACCATCAAACAGCAGACTCTAATCCACGCCTTGTAAATTGTAAAATGATGTTTTCATTATCCATTGGACACCTGTGTTCAGTGCCCACCATGCGCCAGAGATGTTTCAGGGCACGGTGCTATCTGAAAACCAGCCTCTCAGTAACGGTCCATTTGCCTAGGAGTGTTCCATTTGAAACTGGCCAGGTGCCCCACTCTACGAAGGACAGTCCTCTATTTCAAGAGGGGTCTGGTTTAAAGCCAAAGGAAGAGCTGGGCCTTGAAGTCACCCATCAGCAGACCAAGGAGGAACACGGCTCACTATGATTTATTGATCAATTGCATTTACCTGCTGCCCCATACCCATTAAGGCTCTCTGGGTGGCTTGCAATAAAGGACGACCTACACAGTCATCTATGTACTAAGCCACATTGTTTTATTTAAATAATAGTTGTTGATTCTGAATTTGCATGGAAATATATAACTTTGCCCAAGCAGAAGGGTGGCCTCTTGGCAACATGTAAGTGACCACCCGAACTGCAGTCCATTGGCTTTCTGTGCAAAAATTACAACCAGGTCAAAAACCCTCTGGGAGGTTTGGGCATAGGAGCACGCTCTTTCATCGCCAGGAGTGATAGCTGTTGGTAGAGGCATCCTCCAGAAGCTTAGCTCATTATTTTCCTACAGCTGTTGCACTGTTCACTTTGTCAGAACCGTGACCTAAAGCTGGTATTATGCCAAAGCTGCATGTCTGTGATGTTCCACAGGCTCAGCAGCTAATCTAGTCAAGGAGGCCCTTCCCTCAATTGGCACCTATGAAACAGAGTGGCAGCAAAAACAACTAGCTCCTTGCCAGGAGCCATTTCCATGCCAGCTTCTTACTTTCCAGAATTGGTCCTGACAACTCCTTTCACACTTAGCCAGCCTGTGCAATGGTGACAGAAGACAGTTGTAGGCCAAAATAACTGGAGGGCATTTTAACCCTGGGTTAGACAAAATGATTTTTAATGCCCTGCTTTTCTGTGTCACACACACAACCCTCAGAGAACAAGCGAAACAAGAAGGTAAGGCACGGAATGAAGGACTCGTTAGTTCTGCCTTTGCCCTTTTCTCCCCTGCCTTTGGTGTTCCCCTTTTATCGCCCCTGGATGCCTGCTCCTTCTAAAACCACAACCAAGTGTGGCAGAAGCATGTTCCATGTTTGTTTAAGAGAGGGAGTCTTTGTTCTCTTCAGGCATTTTGTGTGAGTGTTTCAGCCAGAGAATTTTTAGTTGGGTGGGAATATTTCGTCAACAGCAGCTAAGGTCTCCCTTTCCTTTGCCAGAAACATGTACTATATTTTTGCCACATCCAGGATGTCACTACATTCTTTTTATACCATGTAAACAGAAGCTTCTAAAAACAAGGACTTTAATTCTGCTGCCAAATGTGTAGTGTAACATCTTCCCACAAACCAACGTGGTAGAAAGGAGAACTGCTTGGCTGAGTTCAAACCCATGGAGCTCACGCGGTGGCCTGCAGCCAAGTTGCTGTCTCTTGGCAGAGGGATCCTCCATCACAGGATTGTGAGGAGAGCTCCGTGGAGAATGAGCAGGACACGAACGTGATAGTTTCAAATGTTGTGTATTGTTCAATTTTTGGGCAGTCCTGTCACAGTGCACTATAGAGGAATATTTGCTTCTCACATTCCCATGTTCAGGATGTCCCAGGGCGGCAGCTTATGGTATCGGTTCCTTCCAGTATTTATGTTTCTAGAACTCTTCAATTATAGCAAAGACAGATAAATGTTCTTAATGCTGAGGGCTGTAACCTCTCAAGGGGTGAATAGGTTGGAATCAAAATTGGGCAGGCCAGAGTTGGTTGTGCGCATTTTTTCTATGCCCTTCTCCAGTTGCTGTCCCATCCCACCACAAGTTTAGACAGATTAATTGATGCACGGTTATGTTGGTGGTTATTAGCTGTAATAGCTAAGTGGAACCTCCTGATTTAGAGGCCGTCTACCCCTGAATACCAAATGGGAGCACACAGCAGGCAAAGGCTATTGCTCGCATATACGCTATTTTGTTTCCAGAAAGTATATGATGTTCGTTACCCAAAAACCTGAATGTTGCCCTAGATGTGCTCTTGGCCTGAAATGGCATGTACCTCCTTGAAAAATACAAGGGCCTGCTCAGAGAAGGATTAGAGTTGAGAAATATTTTTAAAAAGAAAACATTATTGAAAAGGTTACTGTGAAGCCACTGGCTGCCCAACACATTTGCTGCTGCAGGTTTGGAGCTCCTCAACGTGGGGGAAGGGATCCTGAAAGGAAATAACTGGGCCACTGGCATGTGTCTTTATCAAACTGGGAAACCAGAGTCAGCCCACACACTTTCTGGGAGAGACGGTGTGTCCCAATGGTTGGAGCAGCTTCTGGTCATGGAGTCCAGCGGACAGCTTGGATGAGTCTGTCTCTCATCCTCCTGGAGTGGTTCTTGTGAAGACAAGGTGATGGAATAAAACGCTTTAGTGGGTTTCAGGCACCGGCTGTGAGGTCAAGACACTTTGAACTTCAACTCCATTTTAAGCACAGTGCAAGTGCAACCCTTTCCAGTCCATTCTGATTTTTTACTTATTTCTTTCCCTGAGTCCTAAATGAAGAGGCACCCTGTGCTCATGAGTCGGGGGAAGGCTGTCTTTTGACTTTGCTGGTTATTAGTTTCCAATTCACTATTTGTACAAACAGTTAAAGCAAGGCTCAAGCAATGCCCCTAATTAGGGAGTGAAAGTTGACACCCCCCTGCACCCCAAAATCAGCTTTGGACTATCCATGCCATAGATCACCATTGAGGAATCATCTTCAAGATCCACAATCATTTGCTCCAATCGAAACCTTTTTGAAGGCAATGCTCATTGA